CTCTGCCGCCGACCCGGCCGCCGCGGCTTCGTCGCCCGCCGTCGCGTCTCTCGTCGGCGCGCTCCACGCGCTGCTCGCGGAGGACGAGGCGGCGCGAGCTGCAAAGCCGCGACGGGCCGCGAGCGCTTGCTGGCACGGCGGCCGAGGAGCGGGGGAGGGGCGGCGGCGGGCCAGGCGGAGACGGGGCGGCGACGCGAGGAACGAGTGGAGGTGACGTGACGGACGTCACACACACATACCGACTCCGTACAGACACAATGGTATAGCCGCTACAGTACGAAACGCCGGTAAGATGAAGTCGTCCTGCGCGCGAGGCTGCACTGTGCTCTGTGGGACTCCAAAAGTCGATCCCTCTCGCGCTCTCCAAAAGCCTAAGTATGCCGTGGGGCTCCTGCCCGTGTCCGGGTGTGGAGATGCGAGGGTCGCCCCCCCTTGCCCCACCACTTTGTGTGTGTGTGGAGAAATTTACCTTACCTTACCTTACCTTACCAAAAGCCTAACCTCGCACGTCGCAGTGTCCAGTGATACATCCGACGCTACCGGCGCGTGCGCTCCTGTAGGCCAACCGGGCTGCCACTCGCAGACTCCGTCTGTGTTAGCTGCCATATTGATTAGAGAAGAGGCTTCCACTCTACTCGCCGTGAGGACCTCTATCGTGAGGAGATGCTACAGCGGGGCGGCCGCCCTCTCCATGTAGGTTTGCCGCTCAACGGCCGTCAAGCCGTTACACTCGTAGAAAGGAACGCTGATCACCCTCCAGCCAGCCGCCGCGAGGAGGCGCCGCTTGAGCAGCGTTGGCCCGTTAGGCTTGCGCACGCCCCGGTCGTCGGGCAGGAGGAAGTGAGAGGGGCCATCCACCTCAATCGCGACGCGTGACGAGGGCAGCGCCAGGTCGAGCGAGTAGCCGGTGCGCGGCTCGAGATACTCCTCCTCGAACCGAGGCTTGACGGTGGCGAGGGAATCCGTGACGGAGCGCTGCAAGCGCGAGATCGTAACTGGACGGTCTTGCATGGCGTCACAGCAGAGCTGGCGCTGGGACTCGGAGAGGAGGTGCTGCTGCGCGTCTGCCCCTCGCTCAAGAGAGAGCCAGAGCTGCCACTGGTGCAGCTGATTGCGGGCTTTGATGCTCCACCTCGACGGGTCCCGCGCAAGCGAGTCGCTGATCACGCGCGAGCAATCCGCAAGTAGGACCTGGTGGTAGTGGCCCGCCGTCGCATACGCCCACACCGCGTTGGCCAGGTTCTGTGGGTTGAAACCAGCCAGCCCGCTGCGCACCGCCGCCTCCGCCACCGCCGCATACAGCGCGTCCGCAGCCACGCCCGCCGTCGCAAATGCCCACACCGTATTGGCCAGCTCCTGCGGCTTGAAGCGAGCCAGCCCGCTGCGCACCGCCACCTCCGCCACCGCCGCGTACAGAGCCTCTGCAGGCACGCCCGCCGTCGCAAATGCCCACACCGTGTTGGCCAGCGCCTGAGGGCTGAAGCCAGCCAGCCTGCTGCGCACCGCGGCCTCCGCCACCGCCGCGTACAGAGCGTCCGCAGCCACGCCCGCCGTCGCATACGCCCACACTGTGTTGGCCAGGTTTTGAGGGTTGAAGCGAGCCAGCCCGCTGCGCACCGCCACCTCCGCCACCGCCGCGTACAGAGCGTCCGCAGCAACGCCCGCTGTCGCATATGACCACACTGTGTTGGCCAGGTCCTGCGGCTTAAAGCGAGCCAGCCCGCCGCGCACCGCCGCCTCCGCCACGGCCGCGTACAGAGCGTCCGCAGCCACGCCCGCCGTCGCAAACGCCCACACTGTTGTGGCCAGCGCCTGAGGGCTGAAGCCAGCCAGCCTGCTGCGCACCGCCGCCTCCGCCACCGCCGCATACAGCGCGTCTGCAGCCACGCCCGCCGTCGCAAATGCCCGCACTGTGTTGACCAGGTTCTGAGGGCTGAAGCCCGCCAGCCCGCTGCGCACCGCCACCTCCGCCACCGCCGCGTACAGCGCCTGCGTAGCCACGCCCGCCGTCGCAAACGCCCACACTGTATTGGCCAGCTCCTGAGGGCTGAAGCGAGCCAGCCCGCTGCGCACCGCGGCCTCCGCCACCGCCGCGTACAGCGCCTCTGCAGCCACGCCCGCCGTCGCAAACGCCCACACCGTGTTGGCCAGCGCCTGAGGATCGAAGCCTGCCAGCCCGCCGCGCACCGCCGCCTCCGCCACCGTCGCGTACAGAGCGTCCGCAGCCACGCCCGCTGTCGCATACGCCCACACTGTGTTGGCCAGGTTCTGAGGGTTGAAGCCAGCCAGCCCGCCGCGCACCGCCTCCTCCGCCACCGCCGCGTACAGCGCGCGCTCCACCCCCGAACGCCGGCCGCACTTTGCAACGCCGTGAGCTATATTCGCCAGTGCTCGCGCATTGCACGACGGAATGAGGTCGAGCGTCCCCTGCACAAGCTGCTCAAGCTGCCCCTCGTGCCGCCGCTCGATGCGCTTCTTGCCCAGTTTGTTCCACAGGTTTGCAGCGTGGATGTGGTTCAAGCTCGTGCTGTGGGCAGCTACGAGCGCGAGCAATGCGTCGGTGCTGCCAGCATTCGAGATCAATGCGGACAGCTTTCGCGGTTCAATGTGACCTCCACCGTCAGCACAGCGGCTCGAGCGGTGGTGGGACTGGGACCGGTCATTGCGCCGATCGTAACAGTCCCGCTCGCGCCCACCTCTGCACCGGCAGTCGTCGTAGACGCACCGCTCGTCGTGCCATCGCTCAGCGGGCCGCCGTTGCTCATTACGCCGTCGTGGCTCATCACGCCGCTGCGGCGCGCCGCGCGAGCTTCGATCCTCGCAGCGAATGCACATGTGGTTGGACTGAGTCCCGACCTGGTAAGATAGAGCCCAACAATTGGCCTCGAGTAAGCGGAACTTTCGGTAATAGAGTTCTGTATACAGAATTTTACGACAAAGCTCTCTCGCACAACACTTGGCACGGGACTGGTGCGCACTGTATACACTGTATAACAGATTTGGTGGGAATTTAGTATTTCATTCAGAATTTCACAACAAAAGGCATCTATATCTTGCAAACATTTCAGAAATCGCGAGTCCGCACAAGTGCTCCAAGCGCTCCGCGGTGTTTCGATTTCCGCTCTCCTGCCCGCTCTCGCCAGCCCTTGATTGATTGATTGATGGGAAGGCGAAACACAGTCCGACCAACGACTGGGACACCAACGCGGTATGGGTGGACGCTAGACAGGCGATGACGGTCACACAGGAGCGACACACAGAACCACAAGACAAGACACTCAGCCCTTGGCCTTGCATGCAGCAAAACTACATGAATCTTCTCTCGCCCACCCGCGGTCGAGAGCAGTTTTGCCGTTGCACGATCCTCCGACAAACTTGGAGCTCTTGGACTTATTAAAATGAACTCTCGGGGGCACGGGACGCGGCACAGACGGGGCACAGACGCCAGGCTACAGACACGGGGAGGCACGTAGTGACGCAAGGGAGTCTAGGCGACAGTGGCGTCCTCCGACGCCGCTTGGAGCTCTTGGAGTGCAGTCGGCAAAATCTCACACCCAGGGCCGGGGAGCTAAGAATCGCACCAGCGGGCCGGACGATTGGCATCGGGCTGCGGGCTAGAGAGCCCTGACCCTGGGGGGGGGGTGCGCGGTCGCAGGGCCATCGATAACGACAAGCGACGCTTTCCGTGGCGACGACCACGATCTCAGCAAGCTGAAGGCGCTCAAAACTGTCGCCACGATGGTCCTGCAGGACGGACCGATGCTCTATCGCGAGGCCTGCCTCGTCCACGCGCGCTCCACCTTCTTCTCGGACCTCAACGCGGCGCTCGATGCCGATGTCTTTGATTCTGCCTTTCGAGCTATGGCGCGGAAGACGACAACGGCCTAACACGACGGTTACTGTACGCTCGTGGTGGGGTGGGGGGTGGGGGGGTATGTCGCGGTTCCAGGGCCGTAGGTAGGTAGGTAGTAAGGTGAAGCACAGCCAGGCTCGGACTGGACACCAACGCGGTATGGGTGGACGCTGGTAGGACAGATGATGACGACACGCACGAGCGACACACAGACACAAACAAGCTCACAAGACACACAGCCAGCTGGCTGCCACACACCCTGAGTCGGCGTACACATAACTCAGGGCCACATCCTCCCTGTCGCCCCCCCCAGCACTCCACGGTGCCAAGGGCACAAACAAGGGCATAACTCAAACAACAGACGACAGGAAGTGACATGTGAGGCTAGAGCAGCTTGCTCCACCTCTAGCAATCTCACCGGCCTGCGAGGCCCGGACGAGACCGTATGTGGGGTCTAGTGAGGTGTCTATGGACGCTCTCCTCATGGGCTAGCTGCCTGCGGCTAGCCCTTCTCGCACTCACAGGCGATGATAATCCAATGTATGAGTGTTTGCGAGCTGAGGCGCGTGTGCTAAATCTAGGCCGCACGTCGTGGCACTATGACGGAGGTAGACGTGCGGCCGCAGCGCGCCCACCACAGTCTCGGTGGGGCGCGCGTGTTAGCAAGAGAGTTGCGGGGAGAGCCATGCCCGACTATTCGGAGGCGAGCCCCACGCCACGGATGCCAGCCGTGCTTTCGCGGGAGTCGTCTTCCAAGCCGCGTCCCGTCAGCACTGTCCCCGAGTGGTCCCGCCTCGGCGGCACACACTCTCGACCAGGACAGTCCCGCCAACGGGAACGTGTCGCGCGCCGGCGACGATTGCGGCGTGGTCGTTGTGAAGCGAAGTTGGCACGACCACCGCCCTGCTTCGCAGACCGGGCAAGGAGGGGCCTGCTCCCGTTCCGCGAGGAACAGGAGGTCGCCCCCAGGGCCGCGAACCATACCCTACCCCCTAAAAACCTCGAATCCCGCCGCAGCCAAAGGATATCACCTCGAGAACCTCGAGAACATCGGCCAATCTCAGTCTCCTTCGGAGCTTGCGCCGCACTCGCCATGCTTCACTTAGCGTGCACCTCGCTGGTGCCGCTCCGGACCTCGCCCATTACCATGAAGGCGCCAGAAGCTGAGCTGAGGAAGAACCTCGAGGCGCGAAACGCGGTGACAGAGGAGCCGGGTCGCCGAGGACGCTTCTCCAAGGCGTGGAGCACTCTCGAGAAGGACGCGGACTGGCTCGGGTTCGTCGGCGGCCGCTGTCTGGATGCTCTCGACGACAGCCTCTTTCGCGGCGGCTACCTTTCAAGTGGCTCTCCGCCACAGGGACAGCGGCCTCGGGTGGTCGTGCTGGGTTCGGGTTGGGGCGCCAATGCGGTGCTCTCGCAGCTGAAGAACGCGGCGTGCGACGTGACGGTCGTGTCTCCGCGCAACTACTTCCTCTTCACGCCCATGCTCGCGGGCGCCGCCCTCGGCACGCTGGAGCCGCGCAGGTGCACGGCTGCTGCTCTCCACCGCTGCCCTCTTGCCCTCGCTGCTGCCGCCCGCACCTCCTGCCCTCCCGCCCTCTCTGCTGCATGTGTGCTCACTTAGTAGTAGCAAGCTCTTGGGAAAGAAGATACTCCCACTATTGCTCACTGCTCCTGCCCCCACAGCATCATCGAGCCAATCCGCGAGGCGAACCCGACGGCGACCTACTTTGAGGCGGAGGCGACGGCCATCGACACCGTCTCCAAGGTGGTCACTTGCGAGAGCGTGGTGTGTGAGGGGGTGAGCTGCGAGTTGCGCGATTTCGAGGTGCCCTACGACCTGCTCGTCGTGGCCGTCGGCGCGTCGACAAACACGTTTGGCGTCAAAGGAGTGCAGGAGCACTGCCTCTTCATTCATTAATGAATAATTAACTAAGTATTTAATTAATTGTTCATTAAAGGAGTCAAGGAGCACTGCCTGTTCATGAAGCAGCTCTCGGACGCGATTGCGTTTCGCGAGCAGCTGGGCTACGCCTTCGAGCAGGCCTCGTCGGGAGATATGCGGAGATGAGAGGAGACATGGGGAGATATGGCTACGCCAGGCCTCGTCGGGAGATATGCGGAGATGAGAGGAGATGCGGGGAGATGTGGCTACGCCAGGCCTCGTCGGGAAATATGCGGAGATGAGAGGAGATATGGGGAGATCGCGGCAGACCACGACCAACTTGAGGCATCCGTTGCTCGAGCAGGCCTCGCTGCCCGGCCTGAGCGAGGAGCAGCGGAGGGAGAAGCGCAGGCTCGTGGTGAGCTACCGCCCGTGACTGAATAATTCATCGGTATTGAAGTACTCGAGCAGGAGAAGCTCACCTTCGTGGTGATCGGCGCGGGGCCGACCGGCGTCGAGCTGTGCGGCGAGCTGCGCGACTTTGTGGCGCAGGACGCCCCTCGGCTGTACGAGTGTGAACTACTTCATCAATTGATGTCATCAACCAGTTGTAATTGTGGCGCAGGACGTCCCTCGGCTGTACGAGGACCTGCAGCGGTTCGTGCGGGTGGTGCTGCTGGAGGCGTCCGACAAGGTGCTGATGGCGTTCGACGGGGACCTGCAGGAGGCGGCGCTGCAGAAGCTGCGGTCGGACGAGCAGGGCATCGCCATCGACGTGCGGCTGAGTGCGGGCGTGCGGGAGGTGGGCAAGGAGGAGGTCCGGCTCTTTCCTCAATGAGTACGTGTAGGAGGAGTGGTCAGTAATCAATACCTAGGTGACCGAGGAGGAGGTCCTGCTCTCGGACGGATCCTCGATCCGGTACGCCCTCTCCCTGTGGGCAGCCGGCATCGGCACGCTCGACCTTGTTACTCGGCCGATATCGGCCAAGATTGGCAGAATGCATTGTTCACACTTCATGGCTGATGGCTAGGCACGCTCGATTTTGTGCGGAGGACGGCCGAGGCGCTGCCCGCCCAGGCGGCGCATGCCGACGAGGCGCGGGGGCGTCTCGCTGTCGACTCGTGGCTGCGCGTGGCGGGTGCGCCGGGCGTGTTTGCCTTTGGCGACTGCGCGCACGTCGTCGGGTCGCCGTACCCGGCCACCGCGCAAGTGGCTTCCCAGGCGGGCACCTACCTCGGGCGGCTCGTCGCGGACGGGTATGACTTCGGGGGCGGGGACGGGCCGCCGAAGCTGACGCCCGGAGCGCCGGGAGAGCGCACGCTGCGGCACGGTCTGAGCAGCCTGGCCCGGTCGAAGGAAGGGCTCGCGCCGCCCTTCACCTTTCTCAACCTCGGCATCCTCGCCTACGTCGGGAAGAGCGAGGCGCTCGTCCAGATCGCGGTCGGCGGCGACGAGGGCGGCAAGAAGGTCAAGGGGGCCGGGGAGGCGGGGTTCGCGCTGTGGCGCAGCGTCTACCTGAGCAAGCAGTACGGGCTGCGCAACCGGATTCTGGTTGCGGTGGATTGGGCAAAGGCGCGCGTCTTTGGCCGCGACCTATCGCGCTTGTGAGTAGAGGCGCGGCGAGAGGCGAATCACATGCAGCGCGCCGCACAGACGCTCGCTCTCCCTCTCCCCATGTGCATGTGGCATGATTTTATTTTTCGAGGCGACCGTGTATCCGTGAACATGAGAGAAAAATCAAGGCAAAAGGTTCAACTTCGTTTTTGTCGGGAGGGGAGGGGCAGGCTGCTCACACACGTCGTAGCCCCACAAACAAGTGTGGTTCTACTAACACGATATCGCGCGGATAAGGCGCGCGCGCCGCCGTGGTGGCGGAATATAATGTTAATGCCCGGGAACAGGACCGTTTTGCTTTACCGCAGTGCCCAGCGCGCAGCGGAGACGCCCCGCTCACCATGTACCCCCCCTCCCTCCCCCCCCCCCCCCCGCCACTCTGCCACGTCAAGCAGCCACGCGGCGCGACCGCCTCACGCCTTGCTCCAGTTCTTTGCCTTGCCGAGGATCCGGCCCAGCAAACTTCCGCCTCCACCGCCGCCGCCGGGCGCCGCCGCAGCGCGCGGGCCGGCGGCGCGGCCTGAGCGGTCGCTCCCCGCGCCGGCACCGAACGGCGGGGCGTCAGAGGTGAGTTGCGACGACTCGTTCCGGAAGACGAAGGCGGTGCCGCCGGCCGCGCCGCCCCCCGACGCGCCTCCGAGCTCCTTGAGCAGGCCCGCCTTGTCCGGCTGGGCGCCGGCGGACGAGGCGAACGAGTTTGCGCGGCGCGGCGCCGGCACCTACGCTCAGGGTGGGGCTTTGAGCCCCCGCTCGGCGGAGAGCCTCGTGTGTGTCGAGTCTTGGTGCTGCTCCGGTGCGCTAGCCAGACTGCGCGTCGAGCCTCTTCGCTCTCTCTCTCTCTCTCTCTCTCTCTCTCTCTCTCTCTCTGTGTGTGTGTGTGTGTGTGTGTGTGCAGGCGGGGAGCGATGGTGTGTGGTGTAGATGAGATAGCTGCAGTAGCCGGGGCGCCAGTTGGGTTGCCGCTCTCCACTGCTCATCTATACGGCACCACAGTCGCACTGGAGCCGCCGACGCTCGAGGCGGCGGACGAGGAGGACCGGAAGCGCTTTGGCGCGGGCGCGGCGGCTTCCGTGACGGGCGGCGGCGCGGGGGCGGGCGCCGCTGCCCTGCCGAAGAACTTGATGCCTAACGGATTGGTCGAGTGCGCGTGAAGCAGGTCCTCCTCCGCGAGCCTCCGCCCTGCCGGACGGCCAGAGCGCCGCGCGAGGCCGGCGGCTCGCTGGCGGCGGGCGGGTCGGCTGCGGGCGCCGCCGAAGACGCCGGCTGGCGGGCGACCATGCCGGCCAGGCTCGGGGTGGAGCGGCCTGGTGGGGGGGAAGGGGCGGGGGAAGGGACGGCCGAGTGAGTCGAGAGAGAGAACGAGGCGCGAGGAGCACTCGCGGCGGAGCGGACCCCGGCGGAGGCTGCATCTCGGCTAGACCTCGGCTAGACTAGACCTCGGCTGTATCTCTGCTGTCTCCCGGCTGTCTCCCGGCTGTCTCCCGGCTGTCTCCCGGCTGTCTCCCGGCTGTCTCTCGCCTCCTCCGAAGAGGCCCCCGACGGACGGGAGCGACTCCTCGCGCCGCAGGACATACTGCGCAGCCTACTCGAGACATCAGCCCCATATGACAGACACAGCTCACGAAGTGTCGGCCGCAGGACGTACGCCGCCGACCTCGGCGCCGCGGTCGCGCTTGCGGCGCAGCTCGCGACGGAGCGCCTCCTTGTCGACGGCAGCCTTGTCCGGAGAAAAGTCGAGCAGCGGCGCCGACCTAGTACCATACCTCCAGGGTATCGAATCCAGTGGGGGTTCAGCCCCGTGGGTGGTGTGGTAGATACCGGTCCCCGACGACCCAGCCGCCGCCGAGCTTCTCCTTGATCCGCTCTTTGACCTGGAGTCCCAGTCCAGACCTCTCTCAGGCACGGAGGCGCAGCTAGGCCCCTCCTTGCTCCTTGCCCCTCTGACCTTGCGCGACGTGTCGTCGAACATGTCGTCGCCGTCGTCCAGATCCTCCGCCTCCGCCTCCGCCGTCGCGCGCGCGATGATCTCGTCCTCCGCCTACTCGAGCCATTCTCACGTGACGATCACGCCCTCGCCAGCCACTCCTCCACCTCCTCCTCCGCCTCGTCGTCTGACGCGATGAAATCGTCGATCGAGTCCCCGCCCTCCGACCGGCCGTCCTATCAGCTCACCCTTTCTCTCCTCAGAAGTGACTCACTGGATCGAGTCGGCGCCCTCCGACCGGCCGTCCTCCTCCAGCTCCTCCTCCTCCTCCTCCACCACATCCTCCTCCTCCTCCCCCTCCCCCTCCTCCTCGGCCTCGGCCTCGCTCGCCGCCGCCTCCGCCGCCTCCGCCGCCACCAGCGCCTCCGCGCCGCCGCCGCCGCCGCCGCCGTTCTGCCTCGTCCGACGCATGAGCGCGCGCTGCAGTGTTTCCTCCTCCTCCTCCGCCGCCTCCTCCTCTGCCTCCTCCTCCGCCCCTGCTTCCCCGGCCGCCTCGCAGATCAGCGTCGCGCCGCCGTCCGCCGCCTCGCCCATCTCCGCGCCCGCCTCCGCCGCCTCCGCCTCCACCGCCGAACGCGCCGCCTCCGCCTGCTCCTCCGCCGCCTCCGCCGCCTCCTCCGCCTCCGCAAGCGCCTCCTCCACCGGCGCAGGAAGCGCCTAGTCCGCATACAGCGGACCGTGTTAGCTCCCCTCCTCCTCGACCCCCCCCCGCCTTCCCCTACCAAACGCGGGGAATGGCACCGCCGCATGCCGCCCCTCGCCCTCCTCCGCCTCCTCCGCCGCCTCCGCCGCCTCCGCCGCGGCGCGCGCGGCCCCGCCTCCAGCCACCCCGAAGCTGAGCTTGGCCTGCTGCGGCTTCCGGCTGAAGGTCTTGCCGCACAATCGCGCCTGACGAACCAAACTTGGCTCTCGCGGTGAGAGCAGCGGGCCGGGCGGCTGGCGTCTTCTCGCCGCACACGCACGCGCCGTCGTGGCGGCCGCCGCAGCTTCCGCCTCGGCCTGCGCTGCCGCCTGAGCTGCGAGGAACTCAGCCTTCGCCTCTTCCTCGCCCCCCCCCGGCGCCTCCCCCTCCTCGCCCGCCTCCTGGGTGCTGAAGGTGGCCTGAGGGGTGCACACTCCCTCCCCGCCGCTCCCCGCCACCGCCTCGCCCCCCGCCGCCTCGCCCCCCGCCGCCTCGGCGCCGCCGCCCTCGCCGCCCTCGCCGCCCTCGCCGCCGCCCTGGCCGCCGCCCTCCTCGCCCTCCTCGCCCTCCTCCTCGCCCTCCTGCTGCGTGTCGAACGCTCCTCCGCCGCCCGCAACCCACACCGCCCCCTCGGCCGCCGCCGCCGCCGCCTCCTCCTCCTCCTCCTCCTCGCCCTCCGCCTCCTGCTGCGTGTCGAACGACAGCCCCCCCTCCTCCTGGCTCGCCTCGAGGTACCGCCCCGAGCTGCGCGCCTCCTCGCGCGTGGCGGTGACGGCCTAGGCCAGGTCATCGCCAATGTGTGTGTGTGTGTGTGTGTGTGTGTGTGTGTGTGTGTGTGTGTGTGTGTGTGTGTGTGTGTGTGTGTGTTGGCGGCGGGGGGCGGGGGCGGGGGTGGGGTGGGGTGGGGGGGGTTGGGGGTCGGACCGAGACGCGCAGCCGCGTGAGCAGGGATCCGCGCCGCGCCGCACCCGCCCGCGCCTTGACGCCCTCAGCGCCGATCATCTTCTTGAGGGCGGCCTAGGAAGTGTCTAGGAAGTGTCTAGGAAGTGTCTAGGAAGGGTTGAGGCACTGCGCCGGATCTTCTTCTTCTTGAGGGCGGGCCTTGGACCGGCCTGCCTTGGGCTAGGAAGTGTCTAGGAAGCGTCTAGGGAGTGTCTAGGAAGTGTCTAGAAAGTGTCTAGAAAGCGTCTAGGAAGTGTCTAGGAAGTGTCTAGGAAGCGTCTAGGAAGGAAGGCCTTGGACCGGTCCGCCTTGGGCGTCGCCCCCGACGGAAGCACCACCAAGTCCTCGTCCTCCTCGTCGCCCTCGCCGCCGCCTCCGCCCGCCGCCTCCGCCGCCGCCGCCTCCGCCGCCGCCTCCTCTGCCGCTGCGCCCGCCGCTGCCGCCGTGTTTTTGGCCACGGCGGCCGCCGCCTCGCTCTTCATGCGGAAGCAGAGGGTGGAGCAGTAGAGGGAGCGCGTCTCCGGGCACTGCACCTGTGACGCAACACGTGCCTCACCAGCCACTAGTCATTGAGAATGGAGAAGGGAACGCGCGCCGCCGGGCACTGCATCGGATGTGTGTCTAGGGAGTGTCTAGGGAGTGTCCAGGGAGTGTCCAGGAAGTGGCTAGGAAGTGTCTAAGGGGTGTCTAGGAAGTGTCTAGGAAGTGTCTAGGAGGTGTCTAGGAAGTGTCCAGGAAGTGACTAGGAGGTGTCTAGGAGGAGTCTAGGCACTGCGCCGGATCGTCCTTGGACGTGAGCGCCTTTGTGCAGTGGCTGCACGACAGCCTCGCCGGCGCCGTCACCGCCGCAAGCCCGCCTATTCATGACCAACGCCTCACTGCCAACCCATTCATTGCTCGGCGCCGTCACCGCCGCAAGCCCGCCTCCCTCCGCAACGTCGTCCTCGTCCGCCTCGAAGCCAACCTTGGCCGCCCTCTCCACTGCAACCTCCACCCTGCGCCGCTGGATGGAGGCGAGCAGGTGGTTCTTCTGGATCGCCTTCTCGCTGTGGCCCGCCAGCTTTGCCTCGTCTTGCCGCAGCAGCCGCTGCGTCTCCGACTGCATCCGGTCAAGGTCCGCGTCGTCGAGCCGGCGAACGTGCAGCGGAAGCTCGGCGGCCCTCGGCCCTCGCTGGCCCTCCTCGAGCGCCTCGTCGTCGTAGCCCCCGCCGCCCTCCTCCTCCTCCCCCTCCCCCTCCTCCTCCTCGTCGTCGTCGGCGATGAAGTCGGCGTCGCGCCGCCAAAAGCGGTCCTTGACCTTGGCCTTTGCATGCTGCTCCTCGATCTCCGCCAGGTACTCCGCCTCCTCGTCGCTGCCGCGCCCGACCCCGCCGCCGCCGCCGTCGCTCTCGCCGTCGACGTAGTCCGCGTCCTCCTCCTCCGCCTCGCCGCCGCTCTCCGCGCCGCGCGCCGCCGCCGACCGGAGCCCCGGGGACCCGGCCGCCGCCCGCCGCGCCGCCATCGGCCTTCCTCCGCCAATCGGAACGTCGCTGCCGCCGCCGCTCTCCTCGTCGCCGCCGCCGCCGGCCGCCGCGCCGCCGCCCTTGCTCTGCCGCAGCCCCGCTTTGCCCGAAGCGCCGCCGCCGCCGATCGGCGCGTCGCTGCTGCTCTCGCTCTCGCTGCGCGCCGGCGCGGACATGCTTGCCTTGACGCGCTTGGCGGGCGGCGCCGCCGCGGCCTTTGCCTTGGAGGCCGGCCGGGCGGTGTGCGAGAGCGGCGCCTGCGTGCGGCACCAGCGGTGCCACTGCTTGGCCTCGCGCCAGAGGTGCTCGACCTTGGCGGCGGTGCCGTCCGGGATAGGGAAGGAGGCCTTCTTGCTCCCGTCGGCGTCGGCGCGCACAACCTTGCGCGCCTTCGCGAGCAGCTCGACGTTGTACTTGTTGCCGAGCTCGCGGATGGGGAGCTTCCACGAGGACCGCTTGCCCATCGACCCGACCACGAGGAAGTCGACCGAGCGCAGCTGCTGCTGGTTCACCTCGCGCGCCGGCCGGTCCGAGTACTGCGCTGCGAGTCGCTTCAGCGCGGGCTTCTCGGGCTTTGGGCCGACGCCGCCGTCCCCGTCGGACTCGGAGAGGAGCGAGTGGCGCGCCGCCTTCGCGCCGCGCCCCTTCCCCTCCCCCTTGCCCCCGCCGCCCCCCTTCTTCTTCTTCTTCTTCTTTCCGCCGTAGTCCGAGTCAGAGTCCGAGCCCGACGCCTCCTCGCTGCCGCTTCCGCTGCCGCTCAGCCCGTCCGAGTAGCAGCCTCCGCCGCCCCGCTCGGCGGCGGCGCCCGACGAGCGCGCCGCGCGCCGCGCCGCGCGCTGCGCCGGGCTCGCCCTCGCCGTGATGCGCGCGACAGCTCCCTCTTCGTCGGCGGAGCTCTCGGAGCCGGACGTCGCCGACACGCTCGGCGGAGGAGGGCGGGGCTTCTTCTTCTTCGGGTTGGCGCTCGGCGCGGCGATCGGCGCGTCCGAGTCCGAGCCCGACTTCGAGCGCGCCGCCGCCGCCGGCCGCTTGCGGCCGAGCTTCTCCTTCTTGCGCTGCGGCGGCTTGTTCTCGGGCGACGCGGCGCGGCCCTTCTGCAGGCGGCCCTTGCGGGGGGCGGCGAGCGAGGGCGCGGGCTCCTCGTCGAGGAAGAGGTCGTCGAGGTCGGCCATCGGCGGAGATAGCCGCCTGGTGCGACGGTACGGGGCAGAGCGGCGTGAGTCGGCGAGAGCGGCGGGCGGCGCCAACAGTGTTGCGGGCGATGCCGGCAGTGTCGCGGTGCGTGGATGGCGAGAAGGGGCGGCGGTGGCGCGGGGCGCGGCAGCTCTGGTCCGAGGGCTGGCTGCGCAAGCGTCGCGCGCGCGCGCACCCAGAGAGCGACGGTCGGGGTCAATGTGGCGGTTTGGCTGCGAGGGAGCGGCAAATTTGCAAGAACTCCGAGTTCTTGAGCTCTGGTCCTCTGGATAGGGTCGGTAGGGGACCCCAGCGCCGGCATCATCCGTAGAGGCACGAGTGTTCGAAGAGAGAGTGGACCTGAGCAACGACATGACTTGGAGGCAAATGATCGGAGTGGGAGTCAGAAATGTGGTCCTTGCGCGAGGGGAGCTCGATAGACTCGAGGGGCCAGGATACGCCGCGAGGAGGACGGAGTTGCGCCGAAAGGCAAAAGAAACCGCGAGAACAAGGGACCGGCAGGCGGCGGCGTCACAGGACGAGGCAGAAGAGAACGACGCGACAGAGGAGGAAATGACAAGGGAGAGAACGACGAGAGTGGGACGACCGCGAGGTGGCATGAAGGTTGCAGCGAGAAGCGGGGACAGCGGCCTCCCCAACTCGGCCGAGACCTCTCTTCAGCTCCCTTCGACCACACACGCCCCAGGCCCCCAATGTGAACTCTTCACCTCTCTCCACCGCAGGTGGTATGGGAGATGCGCGGGCAGGCGGGGCCTTCGGATGGGCCGCTGCCGTGCCTCATGATCTCGGTGCCACTAAAGCCAGGCTGCGAGCAGCAACTCCTGTTCCAGTTCCTCTCGGATGAATTTGGGAGGCGAGTAGCCGCCGCCGCCGCCGCATACAGGCGCACCCTTCCCGCCAACCCTCACGCTCGCCTCGTGCTCCCATCTCAGCTTCATGGAGTCGTCGCCGGCCCTTGCGCACGTGATTCGCAGCGAGCTGATGTACCTGCACCCGTGCCTCGACCTGCGGATAGCGCAATGCATCTCCAACCGGCGCAAGGAGCAGACGGTGGCGCTGCGGCGGCCCTCGTCGACGAGGAGGGAGAGAGTACCTACGCACCTCGTGCTGTCCAGCAGGTGGCGCTCGTGCGGGTCCTCGTCTCGCACCCAGACGAGGATGAGCTGGCGCGTGAGACGCCGCTGGAGCGGGCCACGGAGCCGACGAGCCGGCCGCGCGACGGAGGTGCGAGCATGATCACCGGCGCCATCTTGGAAGCTCTGGAGGGCGTGGGCGGGTGCTTTGCCGCTGAGCCGACGGTGCTGGTCAGGGTTGAGGGTCCTCCGCCCTGAACTGCGTTCTTACGAATGCCGGGGCGAATAGGTCCTGGCCGGCGTGGAGGAGTGGAACTCGCACGGAATCCACCACGCGTTGCACCACAACCTTGCCAAGGACCCGGAGGTGGCGCGGATCATGCCCACCTTCAAGAAGCGCGTCGCAAACACCATGCGGATCCAGCAAGAGAACATGGCCCGGGGCAGACTGACGGCGTTTGAGGCAAACCCTCGGGATCCCTCGCCTTCGCGATCGCGCCCCAAGTCTGCGCACTCGCGGCGCTCCAAGTCGCCCGCGCGCCCAAGAATCGGGAGTGGCTAAACGAACTACTGAGGAGGAGAGGGACAGCGGCGTCCGCGCGCAAAGGCGAAGAGAGATCATGGAGAGGAGGCCCGCGGCAGTGACGGACATCCTGCGTGGGAGGAAGGGCGTGTCTAAGCGAGTGCGAGGATCGCCTTTTCCTGTGGAGACCATTGTACGTATCACAAAGATCGAGCGACTCACGAGACACACACGACTCCACACCTCCCCCGAAGGCACTCTAGCACCCAGACACGGTGCGGAAGTGAGCAGGGTTCGTGATAAATAAATAAAAACGGAAAACTCTCTACTGTGAGGTGGGTAAAAAGGAGTCCCCGCCCTTGCGATCTTTGTGCAGGGTTCTTTGTGGGTGTGGTCGGCGACTAGCGGGGGTCGTCCTCCCGATGGGCGATGGGGGACTAACTAGCACTAACCGTCTTCGACATGGTCCCTGCTCGGGTCCCTGCTGCTCCTAATCTCTTCGTACATCCTCCTGCTGATCTCCGCAAAGTCCTGCTCCCTCCCTCGTCTCGCCCTGCGCGTCTGCTCCGCCTCACCGTCTTCTGCCCTGCGTCGTCTGGCGATGGGTCCTCCATAGTCCGGTCGAGGTCGCCGCCCTCCTCGTGCCTCTTCCCAACGTTCCCTGGAGGCCGATGCCGTCTGCTCCGGCTCCCCAGTCCCCGGGTCTGCCCTGCTCTCGTCTGCGCTAGTCTCTGCTTCGTCCTCACCGGCGTCTCTCCTCTTCCTTCTCCCCTTCTTGTATGCTTTGCACATCGCGTCGATTCCTTTTCGTGAGCACCAGCCTGAAGAGAGAGAGAATTCTTGATACGAAACCACGACGACACACACCAGTCGACTCGCATCGGTTGCCTCCATGAACGGCGGAGCTATTCTCGCGTCCACACCACACCTGGCTCCAACGTGGACACGCCCATAGCTGGGGACACTACTAGGTCACGCATGGCATCAGAAGTTTTATCTCTGGGCCCCGAAAGGCATCTCTAGCAGCGTCGTTACGCATGCGCCCTCCCCTCCTGGGCGCATACGCCTCACGTCTCGACAGAGCATAAGCCCTTGGCGTGTGACGAGACGAGTTCTTCGCCATCGCAGCGAGCAGCAAGCCACTCTCCGCAGCAGCCGGAGGCATCGCCGCAGCACTGTCTGCGCCGCGGTCCCGCACCCGTCGACGAAGCTCCCCCCGCGGAAGACCGCGCGTAGCGACGCCTTGACGATCGAGATGAGCGCGCTTGAAGCTCGCCCACCTACTGCCCCTGAGAGTTGGTTACCGAGTGGGATCAGCTCCCCCCCTTGGGATCGAAGCCGCCACACCTCGCACCCAACATCCCAGGCAGGATCAGAGAGAGACTCCGCACCGGACACCGCCCGGGCACAGACCCCCTACCCGTCGGACTACGCCTGGACCCCTCACAGAGCAGCCCACGCACAGGTCACGCATCGGCAGATTTGACACCTGGTTCAGGCGTAGACAGCACACACTGGTCACAGTTGCATAGCCCTGCCGGGGGGGACGAGTTCGCAAGGTTAATATTAAAGAATACAAAGTGGTGACAACCACTGAGTTTTCAGTGGACGACGAGCGTCGACTGAACAGAAGAGCGTCCCCACGACGCCTCGGTGCCACCCACCGGTGTGAAGACCATCCGGATCTACCGAACGCGCCCTCCGGGCGGGTCCGTTCCCGCGATGGCCCACAGTCCTCCGTCGCCTGATCGAACCCCCTCCCCCCCCAGTCCTCGTACTTCACCACGCCCATTACCTCGTAGTTCACCTTATTTGTCCATACCTGATCCTCCACCTCCACCCGACCGTCCACCCTCGCGTTCTTTGTCCCTCACCGCAGCATACTTGTTGTCTCGCTCCCTCTTCTTTGCCACCATTCCTCGTCCGGCACTTCCTCGCTCCTCCACCCCAGTCCGTCTCTCCACGCTTGGCCCTGCCCTCCTAGCTTGCTGCAAACTCTCGCTTCGAGAATCCACCGTCGTCCACCCCATGAACCTGTCGATCTCCTCGTCGCCCACGCCCTCGTTCCCCATGTACTCCAGCATAAGCTCGTCGTCCTCCTCAGCATAGCTCCCTCCTCCCACCATGTCGCCTCTCGACTCCGTTCCATCGATCCCACTCCGCCCACCGTTCCCCGCTGCCTCGCTATCGCCTCCCCTCTCCACTTCCATCTGAACTTCCTCACTCTGCTCGCCACTGACCGACTGATTGACCGACTGACTCTCTCTCTCTCTCTCTCTCTCTCTCCAGCCTGAAGCCTCTGTCGCGTCGTTCTCTTCTGCCTGTGCGCTGTGAGAGAGAGTTCTTGTATTTAAATTCTCAACAAACTTTCGCACGCTCAGCACCTCGATGAGGTCACATGGACCACCAAGAACTGGCACGGGCTGCAGATGCAGCGCTTGTCTGTCGTTCTCCACACCGCCGTGGCGTGGCAGACGGTGAACGAGCTAGCGTGCGGGGACAGCGGCATTGTGCACGGAGCTAAGTGCATTGCCGTTCTTAACGGAGTCGCTTAGGCGGCTCCGGTGGTGTGCCGGTGATAGTACTAGCACGCGCCAGTTCGCACCTGTGTCGAGCCTGTGTGCTAAAGAAAGAAAGAAAACAGACAACCCAAGGGAGGGATGGGAGGACGGCACGCCGCCACCACACAGGGATTTTAAGGAGAGGAGTGTGATGCGCTAGCCGTCGCCCACCCTAGGGAGTCTGCCTCTTCCTATCTCTTTTCGCAGTCTCTCGCCGATTCTCGCTGCAACCTTCATGCCACCTCGCGGCCGTCCCACTCTCGTCGTTCTCTCCAGGCTAAAGAAAGAAAGAAAGAAAACAGACAACCCAAGGGAGGGATGGGAGGACGGCACGCCGCCACCACACAGGGATTTTAAGGAGAGGTGTGTGGTGCGCTATCCGTCTCTCCAGGCTGTGAGAGAGAGTTGTTTTGTTTAAATTCTTTTTCATGCTTCGCGTGTGTGCCAAAACGTTCTCAACAATGTGGCTGGCCTTCCGCCCTGCCCTCCCGGCACACACACCGCTCACTGGGCTCATCCCGCCGCCCTCTCCTCCCCCACAGACCAACCCACAGCGTGATGGTCCTCTTGGGGCTGCTCGCGGCGCCCCAGCTGCGGGCCGGCGCTCCGGCGATGCAGATGGGCCCCGGCGGAAGGACGTACAGCGGCCTCGGGCGGATCCCCCGGCCGGTGCCCAGCGGTTCCAACGGCGGCCGCGGCCGCTGGGGCGAGTACTCCGGCCAGGCGTACCGCGCGAGCCGCAACTCGGACCTTCGGCGAGCGAGGCGCGGCGAGTTTGGCGGCCCGCGCGGCGGCCCGCCGTTCTTTGGCCCCGAGGCGTACGGCCCGTACGGGATGCCGCCGCCCTTTGGCGGCGGCCCCTACCCCGCGCCCGGCCCCTACCCCTGGGGCGGCGCCTTCCCCACCGATGCAGAGTACCAAGGCGGGGGCAAACTTTCGGACATGCCCACGACCGAGACAGTCCGAGACACGTCCGAGACATGTCCGAGACATGTCCGATAGGCGGCCCGTACCCGGCTCGCGTCGAGGGGCAGCCGGCGAACGCCTCGCACGTCGGCCCCGGCCCCGTGCACGCCGTGTGCGCTGACACGTCCGAGACATGTCTGCGCCTAGGAGCCTGCGTCGCAAGGCTGGACTCAGGCGGAGGTAGCGGAGGCGGCGAGGCTGAGAGCGGAGGCGGCCAAGGCGGCGGTGGAGGCGGCCGAGGAGGCGGCCCAGAAGGCGGAGCAAGAGGCGGCTGCGGCGGCGGCGGCGGCGGCGGCGGAGGAGGAGGATGCCAAGGCAAGGGAGGAGGAGGGGGCTCGGCTGCGCCAGCAGGCGGCGGGGGCGAGGCAGCTGGACTCCTAAATTACTGCTGAGCTAACTACCTGATTCGCGTCGGCAGGCGGCGGAGGCGAGGCAGCGGGCTGAGGCGTCCGCTCAGGCGGCAGCGGAGGACGCGTCCAAGGCGCTCGAGCTGGAGCAAAGCGCGGGGGCGGTCGGCTTGCCCCTAGATGCCGGACGCGCGGCGCCCGCACCCAATTGTCTTCTTCCCCGCTCTGCTCTCGGCTGCAGCTGCACGACCGCCGTACAAGAGCGGTCCCTTTGCCGTCCTTGACCCGTCTTCCCCCCCCCCGTCCTTCCCCCCCCTCCGTGTCAGGTCGGTTTGCCGAGCGAGCAGTACTACTCGGAGCCGTACGGCCAAGCCGCGTACGGAGGGGCCGGGCAGCAGAGGATGAGGGGGCAGCTCGGGGCTGGCGGGGCTGGCAGGGGGCGAGGGCGAGGCGGGCCGGGAGGAGGGGGGGCGTGGGGCGGGGCGGGAGGAGGGGAGCTTTACGGGCCGCCTTTCGGCCAGCCCGTGCCCGGCTCTGTGCGGGGTCGCGCCATGCGCAGCAACCGCGAGGCGTTCGGGGGGCGGTGAACCGCCTTCCCCCCCCCCCCTCTCCCTCCCCCTTCGGCCTCCTCCTTTTTCCTCCCTCCTCCTCCTTCGGCCTCCCTCCTCCCTTCTTCCTCTTGGGCCTCCTCCACTACCGCTTCCGCCGCCGTCGAGGCCGCTTCTTCCTCGCCGCGGCGGCGGCCTCACGTCCCATGCGTTGCGGCACCCACGCCCGCGTAGGTCGGCCGCGGGGGAAGCTCCCCCCCCCCCCCTCCCCGCCCCCGCCCTCCCCTGCTCGACCCCTTGCGAGGGCGGGCGGTTCACCCGCGCGCCCTCCTGCCGTCCGGACTCTGTGACTCCCGCCCCGGCCCGAGCCTCTCTTCTCTCTCTGTGCGCGAGCGGAGCTGGCCTTTGCGGGGGGGTGGCGGGTGGCGGACGGGACCCACCACTTGTTCCTTACTCGTGTGCGCCTGTGTAATTGCGTGTGTGCGGCCGCTCTCCTCTTTCTCACGCCATGAGCTCTGGCTGTGCGTTGTGTTCCGAGATGTACGGGGAGCGGACCCTGAGTTGACCAGGGGTTGTGCGCTGGGTCCTCCTGCTCGGCTCCAGCCAGTAAACAAGTCTTGTCATCAACAGAGTAGAAGGATCTGACCTCGGGGCCGATGTGACCAAGCGCTGGTAGCGTGGTTTAACCTCACACCCATGGTCTCACAGTGTGCCGGCAGTCGCCGAGCAGTGTCGCTCACACAAGCCGCAGCACAAGTGACTGAGGGCCAGTGAGGGCGAGCCCATCGCTGTGACAGCTGTGGCAGCCGCACAGTAGGCTGTGTCAACTGTGCAGAGTGTGTGAGCAGCAGAGGAGCTGTTCTCCAGGCTTCTGTCGCAAAGAGCTGCATGCCACCGAAAGCGCTGTCGAGGTTCGCCGAGCGCGGCGCAGGTTGAGGGAAGCCGCCACCGACGAGCGCGTTGGACTTTTCACTCCGGACAAAGACGGCCGCACGCACACGACCTGCGGTCGTGCGGCCGTCATAGCGGCGAGGCGCGGGACCGTCTGTGGCGAGGTGGGTCGCGTCCCTCGATTTCCTCAACTCAGGGTCCGCTCCCTTTATCAGCAGGAACCAGAATGCAGAAAGACGCACTTTGCGACTCGCACTATCCATCTTGTGTGAAGTTTTGCGCTCGACGCGCTTCCGTCCGCACTTGGAGCTTGCAGTCAGCAGGTAGGTAGGTAGAAAGGTGAAGAACAGCCAGGCTCGGACTGGAGTCAGCAAAGCGAGGTTTTTCTTCTTTCTCGCCAAAAACGATGCTAGCGCGGTCTAGCAAGCGGTCGCCGCTGTCCCGGCTCGCCGTCGCGCAACAACGTCGTGGTGGTCCGCTCACCGGCTCCGCCGCAGCCTTGTCGACGTCGTCAACTTGGCAGTGGCTGAAATCGCTCTTCTCGCCGCCAACGCCGGCACCAGTCACGCAAGCCAGTGGTCCGTCGAGCGTCGCCGCCGGCGCGCCAGCTGCTATTGCGTTGCAGCCGCGCGGTCGGGTCACTGGGAAGCTCTGCGTCGCGGCGATCGATCCGCCCCCCAACTTTGACGCCTCGTGCGCCGCGGTTGCCCGTGCGGTGGCGGGCGCCGAGACGGTTCTTCTCGCCGTGTGCAAGGCTGACCTGCTGCCGCAGCTCTCGCCGGGCGAGCTCGAGTCGCTCCGGCGGCGGTTCGAACGGCGGCGACCCGGCGTATCGTGCGCCTCCGCCTTTGGGGTCTCTGCGACGGCGGCGGAGAGCAGCGCTCACCGGCCACGCAACAGAGGCGCCGGACACTTCTCGGACCCTTCTCAGAAGCTTCCCTGTAGGAGAGCAGCACTCGGCCGCTCGCAGCGGAGGTGCTGGCGCAGGCGTCCCGGGGCGGGCACAGCGAGGTTGTCGTTGTTGGGACGGATCGCTCTGGCAGGCTGGGCCTCGCCCGCGATGGCACACCTGCGCACGGCAGCACAGACCGAACCGCACAACTACACATCACTGCCCTACACTGCACTACTCTACACATCACTACACCGCACTAACCTACACTGCACTGCACCGCACTGCACTGCACTGCAGCCCACGCGCCACGACCACACTTGTGTTTAGTTGAGCTCATCATGGCAGGTATGGCCTCGCTCGCGCTCTTGCCGAGCAGCTGCCGCGGCTGGCGGCGGCGGAGAGGGGCGGTAGGGGCGGCGGCGGGAGAGGAGGGGGCGGGAGAGGGCGCTCGAAGGTCAAGGTGCCGGCAGTGGCGGAGGGCGACACGGTGTTGCTGCCTCAGCCGTTGGCTCCGCTGGTTGCACGCTTGAGCGCCCGCCCGGAAGCAGTCGAGGCTGGCTCGTGGCGGCGGGTGCCGGTCGGCGTCGGCCGCAAGGCTGTCCTCGAGCTGGTGGGCGACGGCGGCCGTGGCGGCGGGGGAGAGGTGTTGGGGAGGGCCGAGGTCGTGTTTCCGGGCGGCGGTGGCGGCGAGGAGGAGCAGGAGTTGGCGGAACTCAGCGCGGGTCTGCTGGCGAGGTGGTTTGGAGGCGGAGGAGTGCGGATGGTCCTCTCTCCAGCCGCCGGAGAAAGAGCCGACGCCGCCACCGACGCCGCTGACGTGTGGCGCGGCGCTGCTGGTGTCGCCGCTGCTGACCTCGCCGCTGCTGACCTTGCCGTGTGCCCTCCAGCCCCGAGCAGGCTCTACTCCTTCATGGGCGGGCACGCGCTGGACGTGGAGTGGGCGGGTGTGGGGTGGGTCTCCCTCTGCGCGCAGAGCCCGTTTGTCGTCACGCCGCTCTCTCCCGCCGGCTGCATCGCGTCCGCCCGGAGGCCGCTATACGCCCGCTCGGCGGAGCTGGGCGGGCCGACGTACGCGCCCTACCTGTCCGAGGCAGGGCTGGCGGAGGGCCTCGAGAGCGGCGAGCTGGCAAAGGGGCGTCTGCAAGTGACATACAGCAACCCTCAGAATGCGTTCGTGGCGGGCGGCGTCGGGCAGGCCCCGGCAGTGTCGCTCTTTGGCCGAAGGGCACTCAACCGGGCGCTGCACGGCGATGAGGTTGCGGTGCGGAAGGGGGGGGCGGCCGAGGCGGCCGAGGCGGGCGAGGTTGGCAAGGGTGGAGCGACGCGGAGGGGCGAGGGCGAGGGCGAGGGCAGCGAGGTGGTTGGGCTGCTGCGGCGGGTGGAGCGGCTGCTCGTCCTGCACACGGGCAAGGAGGAGCCGGTGGGCGGCCGCTGGTCTTCCTCTCCGCCACTCGCCCTCCCAAGGGATGGCCGCTACCCGCCGTTTGAGCTGTCGGCAAGCTGCTCGCCCGGACAGCTCGCCGGTGGACACCAGTCAAGTGGACACCAGTCAAGTGGACACCAGTCAAGTGGACACCGGTCGGGCCAGCTAGTCGCCGCGAAGGTCGGCAGCTGGGAGGTGGAGCAGACGCACCCGTCGGCGACGGTGGTGCGGGTCCTGGGCGAGGCTGGGACGGCGGCGGCGGAGTCGGAGGCGCTGCTCGTGGAGAGCGACGTGCGGCTCGAGCCCTTCTCGGACGAGGTGGAGGCGTGCCTTCCGCCCGCCGACTGGAGCATCTCCGCCCGCGAGATTGCGCGCCGCCTCGACCTGCGCGACGCCGCGGGCGTCGACATCTTCTCGATCGACCCGCCCGGGTGCGTGGACATCGACGACGCCCTTCACTTGCGCACTCTCTCGCCGGGCGTCTTCGAGGTTGGCGTGCACATTGCGGATGCGAGCCACTTCATACGGCCGGGCAGCGCGCTCGACCGCGAGGCAGCCTCGCGCGGCGAGACGCCTAATTAACTATGAAGTGACTATTAATCGACGATTAGTCAACTAGTAATTAGGCAGCCTCGCGCGGCGAGACCTTCTACCTCGTCAACACGCGGGCAAACATGATCCCGCCGCGCCTGTCGGAGGACCTGTGCTCGCTGCACCCGCACGTCGACCGGCTCGCCTTCTCGGCCCTCTTCACCATGGACGAGCGAGCAAACCTCCTCTCCACGACTTTTGCGAAGAGCGTGATCCGCTCCGCCGGAGCCCTCTCCTACGCCGACGCGCAGGAGCGGCTAGAGAGGGAGGGCTGCCCCGAGCCGCGCACGGCCGCGCTGCAGACGCTCGGCCGCCTGGCGGTCCTGCTCAAAGGGAGGAGGGCGGCCAGCGGCGCTCTCTTCCTCGGCGTGTGGCAGCGCGTCTTCACACCTTCTGGCTGTGAACAGGAGGGCGGCCAACGGCGCGCTCTTCCTCGCCTCGTCCGAGGCCACTCCCTAGACACTCCCTAGACACTCCCTAGACACTCCCTAGACACCTCCTATTCACTTCCTGGACACTTCCTAGACCCTTCCTAGACACTCCCTAGACACTTCCTGGACGCTTCCAAGACACTCTCTAGACACTTCCAAGACTCTTCCCCGCCTCGTCCGACGCCCCGCTCGAGCTCGCGCCGATCAAGGGCGGTCCGTTGATGACGGCAGATTACGGGGAGATTGCGGGGGGGTATGGGGAGAGATGGCCCGTTGATGACGGCAGCAGCCGGTGACTGTTCAGGTGAAGTTTGAGCTCGCGCCGATCGAGGAGGGCGACGCGTCGGGTCCGATGAGCCTTCCCACCGGCATGGCGCTGCGCAAGCAGCAGGCGGCGCACTCCTCGCGCCTCGAGGAGGCCGTCGACTTCTCGGAAGCTTCTCGGAACCTTCCTGCAGGCGGCGCACTCGCTCATTGAGGAGTTCATGGTCCTCTGCAGCTGCGGACACCCGGCGGTGGCACCGGCACCCGCCCTCCTCCTCACCCTGATCGGAGCCTGCCTGCAGGTCCTCGCCAACTGCGCCGTCGCGAGGCGCGTCGCCGAGGCGTGGCCGGAGGCGGCGCTGCTCCGCCTCCACCCGCAGCCGGAGGAGTCAAAGTTCGCCGCCCTCGCCCGCGCGCTCGAGCAGCAAGGGATGCCCTTCCGGGCGAGCGGCGCGCGCGAGCTGGCCGCCTCCCTCTCCCTCGGTGTGAACAGCGTCTCTTCACACCTCCCGGCCGTGGGCAGGAGCGCACGAGCTGGCCGCCTCCCTCTCCGCCTGCACTAAGCCGGGCGACCCGCACTTCAACCACCTCGTGCGCCTCATCTCGACACGCTGCATCGCGCCCGCAAAGTGCTTTCGCTACCGCACCACCCTCGGGGCCGAACCCACACTGGATTCGGTACCCTGGAGGTATGGGACGCGTAGGTACTTTCGCTCCGGCGCCGTCCCTCGCGAGCAGTGGCTGCGCCGCGGCCTAGAAGCGGAATCTCTCCCCATCTCTCCCCATCTCTCCCCGTAATCTCTCGGTCTCTCGAGGCCCAGAAGCGGAAGCCGTGTCTTGTGCCTTCGCACTAGCGCTCGAGAGGAGACGACACCAGCGGTATTCGGACGTATTGAGCTATCCTCTCTGTCTTTGCCTCCCGCATGTTCACGCGGTGCTCTGAGTGCTCTGCACAACACCGCCTTCTCCCGCCCTGAGGTTGGTGGCTTCAGTACGTAGACACTGCGGTACCGCCGAGATATGGGAGATATGGGGAGATATGGCTTCAGTACGCAAGCACAGCGGACTCACCCTACCGCACCGCCCACGGGAGGTAACCCGCACTGGATTCGATACCCTGGAGGTATGGGACACGTAGGCACAGCGGGCTTGCAGAGCCGACGTACACGCACTTCACCTCGCCGATCCGGCGGTACGCAGACCAGGTGAAGCTCCCCAGACTCTTCCTAGACACTTCCGAGACACTTCCTAGACACTTCCTAGACACCTCCTAGACACCTCCTAGACACCTCCTAGACACTTCCGAGACACTTCCTAGACACTTTTTCTCGCCGATCCGGCGGTATGCGGACCCGGTGGTGCGCCGGCTGCTGACGAGACACTTCCAGGACGCGTCCTCGACATGTCCTCGACATGTCCGAGACATGTCCCACAGGTGAGGCGCCGGCTGCTGGAGCACCGGCGGCGTGAGCAGCGTCTCTTCACACCTCTAGCTGTGAACAGGTGGTGCACCGGCTGCTGGCTCACGCCATCGGGTGGGAGGCGGCGCAGTCGGAGGAGGCGGTGGAGTCGGAGGAGGCGGTGGAGTCGGAGGCGGCGGCGTGGCCGGAGCGGCTCGGCGAGCTTAGCACGAACCGGTCGGCGGGCAGGCGGTCTAGTGACGCGTTTGACGCACTCCTTGAAGCTTCAGGCGAGCTGGACGACAGATCCGTATCTCCCCATATCTCCCCATATCTCCCCAGGTTTTCCCAAGTCTCCCCATGTCTCCCCATGTCTCCCCGTATCTCCCCGCATCTCCGCACCAGGCGAGCTGGATGAGCTGATCGACTCGCTGAACGAGCGCCACTCGATGGCGCAGCAGGCGGAGAACAGACCCCGCTCTCCCCACATCTCCCCACATCTCCCCACATCTCCCCACATCTCCCCACATCTCCTAACTCCCCCTAACTCCCCATATCTCCCCACATCTCCCCACATCTCCCCATATCTCCCCACATCTCCCCACATCTCCCCCTAACTCCCCCTAACTCCCCATATCTCCCCACACCTCAGGCGGAGCGCGCTTCGGCGGAGCTTTTCACGATGCTTTACTTCCGCGACCAGCAGGCGAGATCTGGGGAGATATGGCGAGACCTGGCGAGACCTGGCGAGATATGGGGAGGAGATATGAGGAGCTGGCGAGATAGGGCGAGATATTGCGAGATAGGGTGAGCTAGGGGGAGATAGGGGGAGATGTGGGAGATGCTCTGCGTCGCGAGTGGCCAGCCTTGCATGCCTGTGTGTCCTTCCAGTGCGCCTCCCCCGGCTTCTCACGGCCGCGGGTCTCCCCCTCCTCTTCTGCTTGCCTCCCCCATTGCCCTCCCCCAGGCGACGGTGAGCGACGCGTACGTTGTCCGCGTGGCCGAGTCGGGCGTGACGCTGCTCGTGCCTCAGCACGGCTGCGAGGGTGGCACGAGGTGTGAACGGCGTCTCCTCTCACCCCCACCTGTGGACAGGTGCCGCGCCCGTTCTGGTGCCCTCTAGCTGTGAACGGCGTCTCTTCACACCTCTAGCTGTGGGCAGGTGCCGGAGCACGGCTTCGAAGGCTACTCGCACCTCGCCCCCCCGGGCGGCGCCAGCCCCTTCCGCTACGACAAGGAGCGGGAGGAGCTGTCTGCGGGCGGGTGCCGCCTCCGTATGCTCGACCGCGTGCGGGTGCGCCTCTAGCTCGGCCCTGGGCAAGAGGGGTGCCTCCTTCAGAGCTAGCGGTGGCTCATCAGGTGCGCATCTCCGTCGAGCTCGGCCCGCTCAGCAAGCCGCGCCTCGTTCTCGCCATCGTCGAGCCGAAGCTGCCGAAGGGCGCGGCCGCCGCTCCTCGGCCGACGGCCTTCCAGGAGGCCATCGCTGAGGAGGCGGCGACCCCGCGAGGGGGGCCGAGGCGGGGAGGCGGCAAGAAGGCGTCTCGGCAGCAGAGGTCGAGGGGCAACCCGAGGTCGGCCCGCAGGCAACCCGCGGAGTTCCGCGTCCAGCGGAGTTGACAGAGCGATCGCGCAACCTGAACTGTCGTGCGAACGATCGACTTTCTGTGGACTATCGCAGCATATGCACGGCCCGAACACGCGCGGGGCGCAGCACAGTGCAGCACCAATATCTCTTTTTTAAGCCATAGACCCGAAAAGATCGGCGTCAAGGCACCGCCTCGGGATACTAGAAAAGCGCCTCTGGGGGCGCAGCCCGGCTTCTAGGGACACAACTCACAGACACATAGCACATAGCACAGCAGCCCGACTACTACCTTGCAGACGCGTGTGTAGACCCCTCCAGTCACTCATGTGTCGGTACAAGAACCACGCTAGTCATTTCACCCTCTCTCCCGGACCGAGACCACGTCCCTGCGCGAGAAGAGGCGAACAGACTCGACGGTCTCCTCGTCCAGCACGGCGCTGCCGTCGAGCAGCAGCTCGACTGCCTCCGTTGGCTGCCGCATGTGCTGCGCAGCGGAGCGCCGGAGCTCTCCCACCGGGGTGCCTCTGGTGACGTCGGTGCGCCAAAAACCGTGGCCATCGATCCAGACTCTGAGCTGCCACCGGCGGGGGATGCGCGCCTGCTTCACGCCTCCGTCCAGTGGCAGGGAGATCTCGAGGCCGGCCGGAACTCTCGCTTCGTCCGGCAGTTGCTGCCACTCGTAGGTCGGAACAAAGAGCGTCGTCGCCGCCGCGCATGAGGCTGCAGGCGCCGGCGCTGGAGGCGGACCCGCAATCCGGCTTTGCTCGGGCGGACCCGTGATCCTGCCCAGCTCGGCCGGACCAGTCAGTCGGCTTTGCTCTGCCGGTCCGCCCAGCCGAGGCAGCTCCGGTGGGCCGGTGAGTAGCTGGGCGGGCACGTCAGGCGTGCCTGCGAGCCGGGCGATGGGATAGCTCGACATACACGGCCGGGGCCGAAAAGAAGAAAAACGTGGTACTCGCTCATGTGTTTGCGGAGGCGTGCGCTAACCACGGGCAACTACGTGACGTGGCGAAATGGGGTTTGCGGTATATACCCAACCTAGTAAGCCGAAAAAACTAACAACGAAGGAACGAAACCGTTACGGAAAAGCATGCGCGACGCTGCCTCTTTGCACCGCTCGCTCGCGGCTGCGGGAGACATGGCCGCCGATGCGGCTCGCACTCGCTCGGCGGGCCTCCGTCCCACAGCCGCCCGGGCGTGCCACGGGTCTGCCTGGCGCTGCGCTGCTCGCACGCTGCACTGCACAAAGCTGCGACAACAAGGGGAGGCTCCTGAGCTTGAGCGTTGAGCAGTGCAGCTGCGGGCGCTCGTGGGCGGCTGTGCAGTGGTGAGAGTGCCTGATTGGAGGCGAGCTGGTGCTGCGCCAGGGTGCGCAGCATGCGCTCTTGCTCTGTGCTGAGGCGTGCTGGCTGGCGCCCAACACAATGCCCTGGATGCATTGCTCCACGCCGTGCTGGCTGGTGCAGTACTGCCAGTGCGCCGACTGGCGCGCAGGGTGCGCGTCGCCGCGCGTGGCACGGGTGGCTCGAGAGGCGCGGCTGTCGTTCAACCCTGCGGCGCATGGGCGCCGCGGAAGCTGCTCGACAGGCTGCGGGCATCGCTGCGGCAGAAAGCGCCCGCCCTCTGCTTTGCTTTCGCCCGCGTTTTACGACAACTTTTGGTTTATCATAGCCGCCGAAATTTACCTCGCTGTTTCTTTATAGGCGTCTCGCAGCTGTGTATTCTCGTATTATCTTCGAGTAGTTGCGTGGGGGCGGTATGTATTCTCGTATCAGTAGTTAGTGTCGTGTCCACTAGCTCCGAGTAGAGGGGGCGTTCTGCAGTTAAGGGGAACCTGGTGCACGGGGCGTTCTGCAGTTAAGGGGAACCTGGTGCACGGAACCAACCCTCGGAGAGTATTCTTTAGCTCCGAGTAGAGGGGGCGTCCTGCAGTTAAGGGGAAACCCGGTACGCGGGGCTAACCCTCGGAGACCATAGCTCCGAGTAGAGGGGGCGTTCCGCCGCTAGGGGACACCCAAAGCGCAGAACTACCCCTAATTGACCCTTTTCTGACTGGGTTGTAACAAAGTTTGAACCACACGCACAGCGCGAGGCCATGCGCCCCATGCGGTACGGGGCCGTGAAACCCATCGCCTGGGGGTGCTAGGACACCGAGAGACATGATCCAGAAGTGCCAGGCACACCCACAGTGGTCAACACGAGAACGCCGAAATCGTGACCTCGGAACGCGGTCACGGCAAATCTGACTAATCTGTAACAACCGTTAATACGGATGGCTCACGCTGGCGCATGGCCTCGCCGCTGCTACCCTCCCGACCTCAGGTGAGCAGACAAGATCCCCTGAGCTGCCGGCGCTCTCTGATCGCCCGGATCGCAACTGCCGTGGCAAAACTGCGAGCTCCCGAGGACGTCTGGCGCCGAGTGCGTCTGGCACCGGGCACGGAAGCTCGCACTCGGCCGCACGCGATAGTGCTGCCGCGAGAGCGCCTGCCAGGTACGACATGTCTCGTGTAGACTCCTCCTGGGTCATGGTCGGTCATATGCAGGACGGCCAGAGTCGCCCACATCGCCTACGCGGTCCCGAGTGTGGTCAGGCTGATACACCGCGACTCAACGGTTGAGTGCGGCCAGCGCACACAAAAGTCGTCGACTGCGGCCTGGCGCGGTGATCATAGGTGCTGGAGACCAGGCAGTATGAGCCTGTAACTGGGCACGCATGAACTCGGTACCTACATTCGCAGAGGCCCGGCAAGGATGGGATCTAGTAGAGTGCTTGCGCACTGAGACCGTGCTCCGTGGGTCGCTGGAATGACCTGAAAGGCATCCTCAGTGCCGCTGCTCGACTCTCCAGTGTCACAGCCGATGCCTGTGACCTGGTCACCGCCGCACGCAGGTTGAGATCCGCGCCTCCTCGGGTGTGCCCTCATAGACAGCCTTCGGCGGCGCGTAGCGACGCGAGAGCCGCTCCTACACAGGCGTGTACGGTGAACCACCGACGGATAGAGCACAGATCTATGGTCACGCCGGCAGCCTCTGAGGTCGAGACGAGGCTGCCGGCGTCGCCGCTGCAGCTCTGGGCATCACCTGCACAAGCCAAGCAGACTTTGTTACAAAAGCGGAGGCGTGTCGACGCGCCGCGCGCTCACATACTTGGGCTCCCATCTCGGCGCGCGCGAGTCAAGGCCGAACCGACTAGCTGCCGCCGCGGCGGGTGTGGCTGGGCTGCAGGCAGGCCTGTGGCCGGCGCTCGGCAAGCTGTGGCGCGGCGCCGGCGCAGCGCTTGTTACAAATTCGGCGTCCCAGTCAGATTTCTTTGGCGAGTCAGAAAAGGGTCAATGAGGGGTAACCCTCGGAGACCCGTGTTTACTTTAAGGCCCTTGCCCTGCGAATGCGCGCCCCCCCCCTAGCTAGGGGTCAGGGCTCTCTAGCCCGTAGCCCGATACCGATCATCCGGCCCGCTGGATGCGCTTCTCAGCTCTCACCGGCCCTGGATGTGAGGTTACCGACTGCACTCCAAGTGCTCCAAGAAGGCGCTCTCAAAAATTGCTCCAAGCGCTTGCGCTTCGGCGGTAGTGATCTAATCACCCGAATACTGAGTTCATTTTATAAATACCACGTTCGGATCGCTCCTCATCGCAAACCCTGTCAGCAGTTCACCTACGGGTATGTTCGTAAGAGCTACATACACTGAAAAAAGACTCCAAGTGCTCCAAAAACGGCGGAGCTGAGTAAGAACGTTGCACCATGAACACGCCCTTACTCATCATCATCTACAAGATTGTGCGCATCAACACATGTGTGCAGCGATACACAGACGTACAATGCTATCACAAAGTTCAACATCGACTGCAACTTTTCCTCGATGCACCCGCACATGAACCCGCCACCATGCCTTGACTGTACACAACATAATGTAGTGCACAGTAAGCTCAATCTCCTCTGCTCTGGTACTCGTACTCCTTCTTTTGTATTTGAACAGCTTGCCATTGTTGCAGCTGGTAGCCTCGTTTTGCCGCCTCCTGGTCGCGAGATGGGTAGACGTCTGCGCACAGGTACAGGCTCATGCTTCGGCGAGGACTATTTCGACTACTTGAGGACCTCTTAGAATGAGGACCTCTGTTCTCGGTGTACGGTGAGGACCTCAAAAGATCGTGTTTGAGTTGTTTTGTCGTGTTTGTGTGTTTGATATGCATGAAAACCGTGGTCGTCGTGCAGAACAGAATCTGCGCTGCGGCCGAATGGTCTCGCAGACAGTCAGAAAGCTCACTCCCCAGCGCTTGGGTGTCCTCACAAGAACATCCACTCTACTTCGCGCGCTCGATGTCATCACAACGACGGAGGAACGGAGGACCTCATTGTGAGGACCTCTATGGCTCCTACAGATAAAATAAAATTCCATTCTCGGTGTCAAAGTCATATGACCGCACAGGTATTTTCTTTGAAGAAAATTCTTTTTAGAGTTGTTTTGACCGCGCAAGACATAAGGGTGGCTAAGGGCTCTGCCCGCAAGGCGCCCGCGTCGCAGACGCGGTACCATTGGCAACTACATGACATACCCCCACACGAAAAAAATATAATTAAAATTCGTGCATATCGTGCGATTTTCAGTGTATGTAGCTCTTACGAACATACCCATTTTCGTTCGGCGACGCAGACTTCTCGTCCCACGTTCAACACGGCGCCCGGGCAAGCCTTCAGCTGGTGCCAACATGCGTAAACCAAGAACGTCCGCCGAATCCGTGCTTTCGGACGGAGCAACTTACCCCCCCCCTAAGCAGCCCGTCGATGCATGTGGCTCGCGCGGCCACGGCCGCAACGACGCGTCGCCGGCGGCGCTCACTCGAGCCCGAGCCCTCCGCGACGGCAACGCCAGGTCGTCGCGTCCGCCCCGCCAGCCCTTGAGCACGCCTCCCGCATACCGATGACTGCACTCGGCGTCCACCGGCGGGGGACCATGGAGGAGCGGTCAGCAGTCTCGACTGCTCCACCGGCTCCTCCACAGGCTCTCGCCGTCGGCCCCGGCGCGCTGCGACGGCGCGCCGCCGGCTCCCACCGCGGCGTCCGAGCTGGAGGGAAAGGTGACGCACCTGATGGAGCTGCTCAAGGCGCATGAGTCGCGGGACGCGGAGGCGTCGCGGCTGCAGCAAGCGCTGCAGTGCCAGGAGGAGGCGGACGCCGCCAAGCTCGTCGAGCTGATGCGACGGCAGGAGGCGGCGAGCGCGGCGGTGGTCGAGGAGGCCAAGGCTGCGATCGAGGCGCAGCTGGTCGAGCGATTCCGCGAGGAGCAGGCGGCGGCGGCGGAGGCGCACTCAGCGCAGCTGCAGCAGCTGTGCGCGGAGCACTCGACGCAGCTGCAGCAGGCGGCGGCCCTCCTGGAGGCGCAGGCGCGCGAGAAGTTTGAGATGGCGGTCGCGCACGAGAGGGTGATTGGAGCAGGCGGTGCTCGCAGAGAGGCTGGTGAGCGGAACCTCTCCCCTCCCGCCTCCCCGCCCGCCTTCCCTCCCGCCTCCCGCCTCGACTCCCCTGCCTCACTCCTCCCGACCCATCCCTCACTCCTCACTCCGCCCGCCTATCCTCTCCCCTCCCTCCTCCCCTCCTCCCCTCCCCCTCCCCTCTCCTCCTCCCCTCCCCCCCTCCCCATTCCCCCTTCCTCTCGCCTCGCGCCCAGCCCAGCCCCGCCACCTCACCGCCCTCCCAGGCGTATCTCTCCGCCCTCAAGCAGCTCGAGCTCGACGTCGACGTGCTCACACGCGTCCTGGCGCCTACTGTATACTTGATGCAGAGCTTTCCGACGTCATTGTGTTTGCCGCTCCGCGCTCGACGCCCGCCGCCGCGCGCGCCCGCGCGCCACCCCTTTTGCGCAGCAACACCTTAAACTTCATGGCCCTCCAAATTCGGGTCGGAGCGTAGCGGAGTGGGCCCCGAGTTTGAAAACGGCGACGGACGCTTGCGTCCTAGCCGCCAACAACGCCTCCCCGGCGCAGAGGGGCCCCCGGAGGGACGCAACCGCTCCACGCCACGCCGCTTGCGGCGGTCCTATTCCACGCTCGCGGGGGCCGGTTCGCATTTTAAATTCTTTTTTCGAAGAAACGAACGAATCGTGCGGCGCCACAAGCACCCAGCCCAGCCCATTCTGGTAGACACGCGCGCGACCCCGCTCCGCCCGCCCACCGATACGCCAGTTTGGTGTGCGCCCATCACTGCTGCCCGCGCCACCCAGCCCGCCCGACTCCCCTCTCGCGTCCTCCGCAGGCAGACGACCATGGTGTGTACCTGTGGCCCGGATTGCACGTGCACCGATGGATCTTGCGGGTGCGGGACCGGAAGCTGTGCGTGCGACCCGGGCGCGTGCCCCGCAAAGAAGCAGAAGGAGCTGCAAAACAAGATCTTCGTCGGCGGAGCGATCGCGGTCGCTCTCATCGCGACGGCGATGATCGTCATGAAGAAGTGAGCACTTGACTCCACGCCGCCTGTCGGCAATGGTGCCCGGTGTCTTCCGGGAGGCGCTAGCACCCTCCCGCCGCGGGTCCTAGTCCTCTGCGGCTTGCCGCAGACGCCGCCTCATGTTAAGGCCTGCCCCGCGCTCAAGTGTGTAGACGCGTGCCAGCTGCGAGCTGGGAGCTGTGCGCATGTGTAGTATTCTCAAACATGGCGGCTTGGCACCCCTAGACCTTACATCGCACGCGGCCGCCTTTCACAGACCCGCAACACTTTCGCAGGGGGAGGCGCCACAGTACCACACACGCGCGACGAGAGCGGTGTGTGTGTGTGTGTCCACTCACTCACTCACTCACTCACGCGCGACGAGACTCTCGAATGCAATTCCACAGACCACACCAGACGCAGACCGTTAAGACAAGACAAGAGCCGGCACACCCCCTTTTGCGAGAGCCTGGCCGCTGACGTGGCAACTCGAGGGCCTCCATCAACCTCCAACGACGAAGGGAGCAGGACTGAATACTGGAAATCCGGGCGAACCGCTGACCCGCGAACGGCCCACCGGGACAGCGCAGACGAGGCGCCTCACTTCGTCTTCTTCTTAGCCCCTTTCGGTTTTGCCGAGGCCGGCCGCAGGTGCGCCGGCAGATACTTTGCTGCTACGTTAAACCTGCTGCTGCTGTTGCTGCTCCACTGCTGCTGATTGTGGATACGATTTCTCCGATCATCCCGCCCGCCCGCTCCGCCCCGCCCGCCCGCCTCTCCCCGCTTGCCCGCCCGCCCGCCCGCCCGCCCGCCCCGCCCGCCCGCCCGCCCACCCATTCCCATCACCATCTCACATACCTTCATATAGGCGCTCGAGACCTCCTCTCGCTGCCTACTCGCTGCCTCTGGGGAGGAGGGGATTACGTAGGGCGCGCGCCACTGCGCTCGCCTTTCCCGAGGCCCCTCCCCGAAAGGCAAGTTTTAGCCACATGAAACCGAGACCCCTCCCCACCGCCCCGACCCCCCCACCCCCTTGCTCCCCTCCCCCCCCTCGGGAGGGCCGAACTGAGGCGCCCGTGGGGACCCCACAATTCCCTTCCCCCCTCGGAGGGGGCCGGACGGAGGCGTACCCCGTGGGCCCCGCTCTTTCCCTCGCATAGCGGCCACTCTTCGGATCGCTGGTCGAGCGACCCGGGGGATGCCCCGCGCGCCTGACCCAGGCGCGAAAAACGAATCTGCGAGGCGAGGCCGCTCATGCGGCCCGATGGGGAGGAACGGGGCGAGCCCCCTCCAACCCACCCGCGCTAGGTCCTGGGTGACGTAGGGGAAACCCGGCGAGCCTCGGGAACTAGCCGGGGCAGTCGGAGAAGTGGCAACTCCGTGCACTGACGGTCGGCCGTCAGAAAACACGCCTCCGTGGCTCGGGTTACACCAATCCTCGCTACCCAACGCGGCCAAAGGATATCCACCTCCGGAGCTAAGTGCATTGCACCTGTGTCGAGCCAACGACGCTCTCAAATAAAAAAACACGAAGTTCGACCGATCCGCGAGGGGGACCGTCGACACGCCGCGACCCGCCGCGAGTCGACACGCCGACGCCACCTCAAGATAAAAAGGCGGGCTCAAGCAAGCAGGCGAGGACGTGCAGGATGCCGACCAAACTTCTGGCCGTCGGAGGCTCGCGCAAGGTGGCGCGTCGCGTCGAGAAACCCGTGCTGTACCACTTCGTCGGTTCTTTCAACAGCGGCAAGGCGACCTTCGCAGCGCAACTCTCCGCAAAGCGCGACGACTTTGACTTACGCCTCACCCTGCACATGCGTGACAACTACACGATTGAGTATGCGCGGCTCAACCCTGACACGATGGCGGTGCCAACGATGGAGATTGACGACATGGTCTTCACCGACTCGTATGATATGGTCGTCTACCTTATGGACAACTATCCTGGAGCCGGCGACAAGGCGGCAATTGACGCTGGCAAGCGTGCGCAGATGCTTGAGTTTGTCCACTTCGCAAAGGACTGGGACGAGTACATGTACACCTACGGTCACATGGGCGAGCAAACGTCTGAGATGGCCAACGGGATCAGACTCGCCCACCTTCGTCAAAATCTCGCCAAGGTTTTGGACGAGAAGCCCGAGGACAAGGACTTTCTTGTTGACGCCTACGTGAAGAAGATCGCCAATGTGCAAACCATGAAACGGGCGCAGGTGAACGGCGAGCAGAAAACGGCAGACCTACAGGCGAACATTTCCCAACTCCACAGTGTACTTGCGCGCGGCAGTGAGCTCCTAGAGCAGAATGGCGGCCGCTTCCTCTTCGGTGACGATCTGACGACGGCTGACGTGTTCTTTCTGCCCATCTTTCGCATGTTTGGCATGGCGTCCCCCGCCTTCTTCGATGTGGTATGGGAGCGACATTCCGCACTGAAGGCTTACTGGGAGCGCGCGCTGGCGCACCCCGACGTCGACACCGGCTTGATGAAGTACGTTAGCAAGGGTACGATGATCTGCGCGATGTTTGGCGTTGGAGTCCCACGGTTGATCCTTTCATGGAAGCTCGGCCTCATCGCCACGCCAAGGCTGCCTGACGCTGTCGAGCGTCGCATCGATGAGGCCACCGAGCAGATATGGGCGAGCATGGAAGGTCGCATGAATGTATCCTAAGGCGCAGGTTCGACCTGGTCGCATGGTAGGAGCGGTGATACAACGGATGACACTGAGTGACGCCCCCGGGTCGCGAACCCCTCCGGACATCCTGTGCCTCGACCTTTACACAGCCCCCCCCCCCCCCCCCGTGTCTGTGTACGACTAGAGGTTGAAAAAAGGGCGCGCGAGGATTTCTCTTTTCTCAGCAGTTTCGTCGCAAAATTCTCTTTTCTCAGGCCTTTGGCTTTGCCCGACGCCGCGGCCTTGCTGTCGCGCGCAAAATGCATTTTAATGGGTTCGAATTTGCTAAGGACGGCCGGAAGTTTGAGCAGTGTGAGCACAATCACCTTTCACCTTTCGCCTTTCGCCTCTCACCTTCTCGTTTCATCTATTTTTATACAAGATGCATCAGTGGGCTCTGCTAAGCCCGTTCGACCAGACGTGAGCGCCGCAGGCCACTGGTTTCCCGCCCCTGCCACTCTGTGTGTTGCCCCCCCGCATCTCCATGACGAAGGCCGTCACTAGGGGCGGCCGGTCGAACAGCAGCGAGCACGGCGTGTTGCTCCGCGGGCGCGGCGAGACCGCGATCTCGATGGCTTCGCTGCGTCCCAGCTGGCGAGCGCGCCGGCCTTTTTTGGCAGAACCAGAAGACACGGTGTTCATCGAACGAAATAACGTAATCTTGACCGAGCGGGACTACACACACGACTACAGGACTCAGCAGAGAGAGGACACACAGCCGCTAGTCGTCCTTCAGACTCAGCACCGCCATGAATGCCTCCTGCGGCACGTTGACCTTTCCAATCGCCTTCATCCGCTTCTTGCCCTTGGCCTGCTTGTTGAGCAGCTTCTTCTTGCGCGAGATGTCGCCGCCGTAGCACTTTGCGAGCACGTCCTTGCGCATCGCGGAGATTGCCGACGACGCGACGATCTTCTGCCCGATGGCGGCCTGCAGCGCCACCTTGAACTGCTGCCTCGGGATCAGGTCCTTGAGCGTGCGAGTCAGCTTCTTGCCAATGCTGTGCGCGGCGTCTCGGTGCACGATCGTCGAGAGGGGCGGCGCCGGCTCCTGAGCAATCAGGATGTCGAGCCGCACCTGGAATGGGGAGATATGGGGAGATATGGGGAGGTATGCGGAGGTATGGGGAGGTATGGGGAGGTATGGGGAGGTATGGGGAGGTATGGGGAGGTATGGGGAGGTATGGGGAGGTATGGGGAGGTATGGGGAGGTATGGGGAGATATGGGGAGAGATGGGGAGAGATGGGGAGAGATGGGGAGGTAGGATGTCGAGCCGCACCAGGTCGTTTGGGCGGTTCTCGGTGATCTGGTACTCCATCGAGGCGTACCCCTTGGAGCGGGACTTCATCTGGTCGAAGAAGTCGGTGATGACCTGTTAATTAATTAACAGGTTCATTAATTAATTAACAGACTTCATCTGGTCGAAGAAGTCGGTGATGACCTGTTAATTAATTAACAGGGTAATTAATTAATTAACAGACCTCATCTGGTCGAAGAAGTCGGTGATGACCTGTTAATTAATTAACAGGTTCATTAACTAATTAACAGACTTCATCTGGTCGAAGAAGTCGGTGATGACCTCGGCGAGCGGGAGGTCGTACGTGATCGCCACCCTCTCGGGGCCGATGAACTTCATGTCGCGGTACTCGCCGCGCCTGAGAAGAAGAAAAACTAGCCGTCAGAGCCACGGTAGTTTCTTCTTTTCCATGTCGCGGTACTCGCCGCGCCGCTGCTGCGCCAGCTCCATCAGCGTGCCAGAGTACTCCTTGGGCGCAAACAGCTCCATCTTGACGTAGGGCTCGGAGATGCAGCTCCTCTTGTCTGCATCGCAGAGCTTGGCGGGTGAGTCCACCCGCTCGACCGTCCCGTCGTTGAGCTCGACCTATTCACAGCTCTTCTATTCACAGCTCTTCTATTCACAGCTCGACCGTCCCGTCGTTGAGCTCGACCTCGTACACCACCGACGGCGCGGTCACGATGAGGTCGAGGTCGTACTCCCTCTCCAGCCGCTCCTGCCAATCTCCAGGCGGGAATTACGCACTGAGTTAACTCGATCTAAGTATTCACCTCCCGCCGCTCCTGCACGATCTCCATGGCAGCACGCCTTTACTTCGGATCCATCGCGCCTATAGTCAATGAATAGTTCATTAATAGGTCATTAATAGTTAATTAGTAGCCGACGCGGAAGCCAAACCTATAGGCAATGAATAGTTCATTAATAGGTCATTAATAGTGAATTAGTAGCCGACGCGGAAGCCAAACCCCATCGCGGAGGACGTCTCCGGCTCCCAGACCAGGGCGGCGTCGTTCAGCTTGAGCTTCTCGAGCGAGTCGCGCAGCAGCTGGTACTGGGTCGTCTCCGTCGGAAAGAGGCCGCAGTACACCATCGGAACCGGCTCGCGGTAGCCGGGCAGCGCCTCTGTCGGCGGCGGGGCGGAGCCGTCCTTGTACGCGGAGATTGTGATTGTGTCGCCGACCCGCGCGTCGTCCACCTGAGGGACGTCTCGTGGAGTAAAGTAATTAATTAATCGGACAATTAATTGTTTAATTAATTAACACGCGCGTCGTGGACTAATTAATCAGTTTATGAGGGACGTGTCATGGTCGAATGAATCAGTGTAATTCATTGATTGATTGTCCATGTTGCATGTGCACGTGGCATGTGCATGTGTGTGTGGTACACTCTCGTGTGTGCATCTGGGGTGTGCCATACCGACTTGATTGCCCCGTGGACATACCCCACCTCCCCCGCCCGCAACACCGGCCTCGACTGCTGCCCCGCCCCCACGCCCGGAGTGAGCACGCCGACCTCGAGCGCCTCGTACTTTGCCCCGGACGCGGAGAACTGGATCCTGTTCATGAATTAATTACCAAATGGAGATTAATCAACTAATTAACTCACAGACGCGGAGAACTGGATCCTGTCCCCCTTGCGCAGCTCGCCTAGTCTCAGGCAACCGCGCCGCCTCTTCGGCATGCCTCTCGGCTGCCTCTCGGCTGCCTCTCGGCTGCCTCTCGGCTATATCTCGGCGGTATCTCGGCTACGTCTTGCCGTCGACCACTCGGATAAAGACAATAACACCGCGGTACGCGTCGTAGTACGAGTCGAAGACGAGCGCGCGCAGCGGCAGGTGGCGCCTGTTCATTAATTAATTACCACGTGGGGAAGTCATTAATTAACAGGAGCGCGCGCGCAGCGGCAGGTGGCGCGTGTCTGCCGGCGCGGGCACCTTCTGGACCACCTCCTCGAGGATGGCCTGAGGGATGGGGGAAGGGGGGGGGCACTTGTCATGCTCCTTGCCTGCCCGCCTCTAACCGCTTGGCCGCTCCAAGGGCTGACCTCGATGCCGATGCCCTGCTTTGCTGACGCGGCGATCGCCTCGGAGCAGTCGAGCCCGATGACGTCCTCCACCTCGCCAGCCACCTTGTCAGCGTCCGCGCCGGGAAGGTCGATCTTGTTGAGCACCGGCAGAATCTCGAGGTCCTGGCCCAAAACGCGACGGTAAACTTGGCGGTTGATGCGTGAAGCGTGCTAAGTGACCCAACGTTGGAGTGCTTCATCGTACATATCATTAGTAAGGCTGAGCGGGTGTGGTGTGACTCAGGAGCCTGGTCCAGCGCAAGAAAGACATTCGCGATCGTCTGCGCCTCGACGCCCTGCGACGCGTCCACCACCAGCAGAGCGCCTTCGCACGCCTACAAGAAGGCGGTCCAGGCACCTTCCGGGAAAGGACCCGTCGCCTGCGCAGCAGCAGCCACTTGCCCATGCAGCCCGCCTGCAGAGTGCGCGAGACCCGAGGAATAAATCAGAAGGAGGAGTAACAAACGGGTGAGGCCGATCGGACGCCTGCAGCGATCGCGAGACGTCGTACGCAAAGTAGTACATCTCCCCACATCTCCCCACATCTCCCCATATCTCCCCATGTGCCTGCAGCGATCGCGAGACTTCGTACGCAAAGTCGACGTGGCCGGGCGTGTCGATGAGGTTGAGGATGTACCGCTCCCCGTCCGACGCGAAGTAGTCCATCCTCGCCGCCTGCAGCTTGATCGTGATGCCGCGCTCTCGCTCGATGTCCATGCTGTCGAGCAGCTGCGCCTTCATCTCCCGCGCCGCCACGCTGCGCGTCGTCTCGAGCAGCCGGTCCGCGAGCGTCGACTTTCCGTGGTCGATGTGCGCGATGATGCAAAAGTTGCGGATTTTGGAAGGGTCGTAATAGTCGCCGTCGTCCGCCGCCGCTGCCGCCGCACGCGGCTGCCTCGCTCTCCTCCTGCTGCACGGCGAGGCCGCCGCCGCTGCCGCCGCGACGCCAAACGGCTGCGGCCGGCTCTGCAGAGCCGGTGCTGCAGCTGGGCCGACCGGCAAGAAGCTCAGCGCCGCCAGCAGAGGCGATAGCACGTACATGCGGCGAGCCGCGAGCGAGCAGTGGAGCTTCTGCGAGAAGGCCGTCAGAAAAAAGAAACAAGTGCGTTGCACAGTGGATGTGTGGTGGCGGCGTGCCGTCCTCCCATCCCTCCCTTGGGTTGTCTGTTTTCTTTCTTTCTTTCTCAGCAAAAAGAATTACGCCAAAAGAATTTTACAAGAAAAGGCGGTCACACTCGCACAACGCGATACACGCGACAGGCGAGGCGCGGGCGACGGCTTCGTCAGAAGCCGTCCCCTCACCACAGCCCCGCGCCTCGCGTGAATCGAGAAAAAGAATTTTCCGGGACTTGCGCGCAATGGCACTAACTCCGAAGGGTTTGCAGTCATGCATCAATACTCGACATCGATGCGAGAGAAGCATCTCTCTGCCACACATCCTGAGCGAACTTCCCTAGTCACCCGCGGCCGAACCTCTACGAGCACTTGGAGCACTTGGAGTGCAGTCGGCAGCCTCACATCCAGGGCCGGGGAGCTCAGAGCACTCTCCCCTTTTTTTTGAGAGCGCGTGGTGAATAATACTTTTTTTCATGCGTAATGGCGTCGCACAACATCGACCCTCTGCGCGCCCTCCTGCACCCCACGACGCGCCACGAGACTGCCCAGGCCGTGTTCGCCGCCAACTGCACGGCTCTCGCATACACCAGCGTCGACGTTGTCGGTGCAGTCGCGTTTCGGACCGCGGAGAGCACAATCCTCGCCGTCGCTCGCTACACCACTGCCCGCACTTCCTACAGGCGAGCTGCCGCACGATCCGCTTCCGCCGCCGCTCACGCCTCCCGGCTGTGCCTTCTTGTTCCTCGGCGAGGAGACTACGCGGCCGGCGCACAAAGCAGCTGCCGGCGCCGGGTGGACGTATCTCGTGCACCGGCGGACGGCGTCCTCGGCGAGCCTGTCGCGCCGCGCCTTCTCGCGCATCCCGAAGCTGCTGCCGCACCTCCTCTTCCCGCGCCTCGCGAGCGGGAGGCGTCCGAACACACACGCAGTCAAAAAACCTGTTACACCGTCACAGCTGAATTACACCGTCGCCACAGTCAGAGGTCACAGAGTCGGCAATGTGGCACACACACACGCCGCAGAAACACACACGCACAGTCACACGGTCGGCGGAGAAGCCGCGTACCTCAAAGCCGCCCCCTCTCCCCGTCTAGGCACCCCACCACCGTCTTCCTCGACTCGAAGCTGCGGCCGACTGCTCCCCTCCACGCGCTCGAGCGCTTCCTTGCCGGCGCGCGTTTTGCTCTCCGCTAGAGTCTCTCGGCTAAGTCTCTCGGCTGCACATACGTCTCGCCTGCATCGCGATGCTGGTGTGTGTAGGAGGGGCAAACTTCGCCGCTTTCCGCCACCCGAAGCTCTGCGAGGGGCGCCGCTCTCCTCCGCCGCCTTGCGGCTGTGACGCCGACACCTCGGCTCAATCTCTCGGCGTCCTCTCGGCTCTCTATAGGCGCTGCTCGTCCGTCGCTTGGCGGCTGTGGCGTGCAGCGTGGACAGGCTGCAGCGTGGCGGGGGTGGGCCGGGAGGAGGGCAGAGGCCCCTCTCACGCGCGCATCATGAGACGACCTCTCGGCTCGATCTCGGCTCTCTATCTCTCGGCTCTCTCCCTCTCTCTCTTCGCAGGCTGCCCGTCGCCCGCCTTTGACTGGATGGAGCGCGAGGCATCGGCCGTCCTTCGCTCCGGCCGGCTAGACGACCCCGCAAGGCTCCACCTCGCTGTGTGCACATGCGGTTGCCCGCCTGCTGTGAACGGCGTCTGCTCACTCGGCGCACACGTGTGTGAACGCAGGCTCGTCGCGCAAGTCGACCGCTACAACAATTAATCAACCGTTAATTAATAGTCAATTAATAGTTAATCAGGCTCGTCGCGCAAGTCGACCGCTACAACAATTAATCAACCGTTAATTAATAGTCAATTAATAGTTAATCAGGCTCGTCGCGCAAGTCGACCGCTACAACAATTAATCAACCGTTAATTAATAGTCAATTAATAGTTAATCAGGCTCGTCGCGCAAGTCGACCGCTACAACAATTAATCAACCGTTAATTAATAGTCAATTAATAGTTAATCAGGCTCGTCGCGCAAGTCGACCGCTACAACAATTAATCAACCGTTAATTAATAGTCAATTAATAGTTAATCAGGCTCGTCGCGCAAGTCGACCGCTACAACAATTAATCAACCGTTAATTAATAGTCAATTAATAGTTAATCAGGCTCGTCGCGCAAGTCGACCGCTACAACAATTAATCAACCGTTAATTAATAGTCAATTAATAGTTAATCAGGCTCGTCGCGCAAGTCGACCGCTACAACAATTAATCAACCGTTAATTAATAGTCAATTAATAGTTAATCAGGCTCGTCGCGCAAGTCGACCGCTACAACAATTAATCAACCGGTAATTGATAGTCAATTAATAGTTAATCAGGCTCGTCGCGCAAGTCGATAACTACAACAATTAATCAACCGGTAATTGATAGTCAATTAATAGTCAATTACTAGTTAATCAGGCTCGTCGCGCAAGTCCCGCTACAACAATTAATCAACCGGTAATTGATAGTCAATTAATAGTTAATCAGGCTCGTCGCGCAAGTCGACCGCTACAACAATTAATCAACCGGTAATTGATAGTCAATTAATAGTTAATCAGGCTCGTCGCGCAAGTCGACCGCTACCGCGCCGACCCTGCCGTGCCCCCCTCCTCCTACCCAACCTACATTGACGGCGGGCTCCTCGTGCAGCGCGGCGCCCGCGAGGTGAGAGATCGACACACGCGAATCCCGACCGAATCTCGACCGAATCTCGGCGAGGAATCTCGGCCAGAGCCTCGGCCAAACCTTGAGGAACGAAGAGTCTAAGAGTCTCGGACGAATCTTGTGCTCCCGCAGGTGATGGACGCGTGGGCAAAGGAGTACTTTCTCTCCGGCGGCTCGGACGCGCCACCGCAAGCTAATGAATGGAGAGCCTCTGACTCATCGAGAATGATTCGTGACAACAGGCGGCGCGGATCGCGACCAGCCGAGTTTTGCACGCGCCGTCGCCGCGTCCGCCGCGACCGGCCGCCTCGCCGCGAGCGAGCTGAACATCCGCACCTCCTTCGAGGCCGACGGCAGCACCTTCCGCCACTGGAACAGAGGGTGGTCGACCGCTATACTGGCGCGCGGAGCTCCTCGCGCCTTTGACGGCGCAGCCGACCGCAACCGCACCCGACGTTGGGGAGGCGGCGAGGGCGGCGGGGCGGGTGGCGCGGCTCGGGTGGTGGCGAGGTTAGCACTGGGTTAGTCGAGAGGTTAGACCGTCGCGACCCACACATTTACGTAGTGCGCACGCCGGGCCTTGCTCACACCTGCTCGCACCGAGCCATAGCAGTGTTATACGCCGGGCGCTTGACTCAGGACATGAAAGAGTCCACACAGCCTTGGGATGAGGTACTATATTCTTGCCTCGTTCTACCCTAGGTGGGAGGATGCGGGCGGCGTGCTAAAGATGACTTGGGCGCAGCGGTCGACGCTGCGGCTGTCCGAGATCGACTGCCTCTCCCTCGCCGCCGCGCTGCCGTTTGTGCTCGCTCTGCCGCCGCTCGTCGCGCTCGTGGTGTGGCTCCGCTGCCGTCTGCCCTCCCGCCTATCGGCAGGCGTCAGCAGCGAGGCACACGAGACCTTCAGGCTCTCCCCGTGCAGCTAGTACAAGATACAAAAGATCTACATTAAAAAGAGGCGCACAACTGTGCTTGGTTGGTTGGCAAAAAAAAGCAACTAAAGCCGTACGGCTTTACCGTACTCCGTAGCTATGCGTATGCCGCTTCCCACGGAGAACGTAAAGTGTATCATTCACTTTATGCCACCGTTGCATATCCGGATAAAGCCGTATGCAACGGTGGCATAAACTGAATGATACACCGTCGCAAAACTGCATTCCTGGGTCGTGCGGAGATGCATCCGGTTTGGGTACAAAGATACTACTCTCTCTGCCATCGTTTACCCAGACTGCTTCACAGAAGGCACACTTTGGTCGAGGTGGCGTAGGTTCGTTCGCCCCTTCGACAGCCTGAGCCAAAAAAATGTCAATCAAGCAAGAGTGGTGTCTGACTGGGGCATGGGTTCGAGCCGTCACACATTGGCTGCCGGGGTGTGCCGAGGGGGGGCTGGGTGGGCGGTAGGCCGTCATTGCCCGGCGCTGCTTGCAGCGCTCTGGGTGGTAGTGGCGGCGCTCCAAGAGTGGTGCTCTTGGGAAGAGGTTCCTCCTTTCCGCTCCCCCCCCCGCCCCCGCAAGGCGCGAGACACAACTCATTGGACATTGCCCACTCGCGCTGAACTCTCTCTTTTCGTCAGTGTACATGTGTCGCGGGAGGTGGCGGATGCAGCGGCGCACCGAACGACCCGAAGGTTGAGAAGTTTACCTAACCTTGCCTTAGCCCTTACGCTTACCTTAGCCACCCACGACGCCGACGGTGGGGCTCTCGAATCGTGTGTTGTGAATCGTGTGTTGGGCTAGGCAGCAACCGTTTGGGGCGTTTCTGGCTTACTGTGGCTCGCGCGACCCCGCGCAGTCCCATGCCACCCTGCCTCTGACGTCCGACCTGCCGGCAAACCGAACGCCGCCGCCGCGCGGCGGCGGCGGCGGCCAGACACCTTGAGCCCGCCTCGCGTCGACCTGCCCGCCCCTCTCTCCCTCTCTCTCCCTCTCTCTCCCTCTTTCTCTCCTCTCATCCGGCAAAGGTCCGTCCGCTCCAGCCGCAGTTTGCGCGCGGCACCTACGAGCCATGAGGCGTCCGATATGCGGGCGGCGGAGGCGAGGAGAGGGCGGGGCGCGCGCTACGTCGAAGAAGTTGAGGTACACTCGGTCGGCGGGCACTGCTCCGTGCGCCGCGAGCAGCTCGGAGATGGCCTTGGTGAGGGCGCCGTTGTTCTCCTGGTTGATGGCGCCTAGGCGTACCGTGGGAGCGTCTCGGACGCGCAACGGGCCGCCACTCGCTAGCTACGAGCGTGCACCGATGGAGTAGACGCAGCCGAGCGCACACGGATCTGTGCTGCCGCCGAAGGACATCGCCTCGTGGCCGTCGGTGACACAGACGGCGACGTACGCCTCGGGCTTGGAGAGGCTGGTCGCGATGGCTGCGGAGCAGGCCTTGACGAAAGCCGCCTTGTCGCTGAGCGCGACATTGGTGGTGAGAATGAGTGACGGGTCGCCGTCATTTGCCTCGGAGTCGCAGGCCGCCGCCTTGACGGATCCACGGCCAGCGGATGAGGTGACGCGAAACGGAGAGATCAGCAGGGCCTCTGTCGAGGCGAGGCATGCGAGGAGGGCAGTGCGCATTTTTGTGGAGAGACCTCGGGATTGAAAAAAGAAAGCGGCAAAGCGCCGAGCTGATGTTCTTTACCTTCCCACCTTCCTATCGACAGTTGAGGTACAAGTGCTCGAAACGAGAGTGGACCTGAGCAACGACATGACAGGGCGGTTGCTCGCAGTGGGAGTCAGAAATGTGGTCCTTGCGCGAGAATGCTCGATAAACTCGAGGGACCAAAATACGCCGAGAGCAGAGCGGAGTTACGCAGAAAGGCGAGAGAAGCAGCGAGAGCAAGAGATCGGCAGACGACAGCGGCGTCTCAGAACGAGGCCGAGGAGAGCGATGAGTCAGGGGAAGAGACAGCAGGAGAGAGAACGGGGGCGCCACGGACCTGTGAGCGCTCGTCAGCGGGTGGTGCGGTTCTTGCCGTAGTTCCTCTTCGGTCGCCATGGCAAACGCCGTTTCAAGGATGAACACGAAGTGGCGGGATGTGGCCAAAATCGGCATCCGGGGCGCTGCTCGTATCACAGGCGGACTCGAGCGCAACGAGGTGCTGAAAAGCCTCAACCTCTTAGGCAGCCGCATCGGCGACACGGGCACCATCGCGATTGCCGAGGCTCTGCGAGGCACGAGGTGCTGAAAACCCTCGACCTCTTCGACAACAGGATCGGCGACGAGGGCGCCAAGGCGCTGGCCTCTGCTCTGCGCGTCAACGCGGTGCTGAAAAGCATCGATCTCCGCTGCAACTATTTGGGCAACGAGGGAGAGAGAGTGATTCGAGATGCGGTGAGCGGGCGGGCAGGGTTCAATATCGCGCAATATCGCGCAATATCGCGCAATATCGCGCACCCCTCCGGCCCCGGCGGCGGTGACGGTGACGCACCGAGCATTTCTTTGTTTTCCGGTCGCGCTTTCCCGCCGCCCACCAGCACCTCTCTCGCACTTTCGGCGCCCAGGACTGACACGTGTAACGCTTCACGCGCGTCGCTGAGGCGTGCTGTGAAGGGCTCGCGTGATCGCGAGCATCGCACAACATCGCCATTTATCGCATTTTATCGCCAAATATCGCGCGGTATCGCGGTTGCGATATTGTGAAAAATTTTCGCTAGGGCAGGGCTTCACACACACCCCTCCCCTAGGGCTAAGCAGTGCGCGAGCCCACCCGACTTCAGGCGAGACGTCGACCACTCCTCGGGAATAGTTCTGTCAGTGGCTGCACTAGACGCCCCGTAGAGGCGCGCGGCGCGGGCGCGCGGGATGACTAGGGGAGAAAAAGCGGAGATCCTAAAGCCGTAGCTCGCTGGGAGGTGGAGTGTCAGTGTGAGGGGAGGGCGTACGCCGGCGTTTTTGCCTTTGAAAACCGAACAGTTTTTTTTGTGAGAGTCCCCCCGAACACCAACACGCGTGCCGCGCGCGAGTTCCTAGATCCTACCAGTTCGAGTAGAGCCGTACTAAAGACTAAAGTGTGTAGGTTGGAGCGAGTGTGGCGAGAGAGAGAGAGTGAGGTTGAAGATATCGTTTTATCGAATGTCGTCGAAAATCTCTCAAGGAAGTAATGAGAAGTAGAGATATCAACACTCACAAGTGCCGCTACACAGTGGGCGCACAGAGTACCGCCGACGTAGAGACACCCTACCTAAACACGATCATGCTAAACATTGTCACACAACGCGGCACAAGCGGTCAAGCACAGACACATGGCGCATGGAGTAGCTTCCCCCGCCCTCGACACAACCCTCCCTTGAGCCGCTCGTTCATCGTGGTCACGACCCGTTCGTAGCGCGCCATCGAAGGCGTACCCGCCTCGAGCCCACGGCCAAAGCAAACGGCAAAACCGAACCAAACGGCAAAACCGACGCCGTCGCCTCAGCCCAAGCCGATGACGTGCTCCAGTCCTCCCGGCCCTGCCCGTCCTGTGGGAATGTCCGCCGCGTGGTCGTCGGGACGGTCGCAGCAGTACCTGTTCACAGCTAGAGGTGTGAAGAGACGCTGTTCACACCGAGGGAGAGCGAGGCTGGTCGCAGCAGTACCCGAAGCAAGCTCCGCCATCGTCGTCTGCATAGCCCAATCGGCCGGGAGGGCGAGGGTGGCCCGGCGTCTGCGGACACGCGTAGTCCGCCGTCCACTCGCAGCTGCAGCAGCACCAGTCGACGCATTGCCCCCCGGGCCCGCCACCCTCCTCCTCCTCCCCGTCAGCCGCCGCCGAGGACGGCGCGTCGGCGCCTCCGCCTCCTCCACTGAAGTCGAAGCCGATGCTGCGAAAGTCGATGTCGCGCAGAGAGCCGAAGGAGGGCAGCGGCACCTTAAGATCGGCATCGGGCGGGGGCAACCACGCTCAAGCACACTCCGGCGAGGGACTTCGGCACACACCCCATGCAGCGGGGCTAGGACGCGCCTGCACGCCCAGCAGCGAGTACGACTGCTCGCCCCGCGCCTCGCCTTGGCAGCTCGCCGCCCCGTCAACGAGCCAGGAGCAGTCGCAGTCGAGGTAGCCCTCAAGCCACGAATGCGGCCGTGGAGGCGGCGCGGGCGGCCTCGGCGCCTGCAGTGTGTGCGTTGTCTGGCTGTGCGTGGCCTGGCTGTGGCTGCCGCTCTGTTTGTTGGCCGTTCACGACTGAGTGTGTGAGCTGGGCCCGGGGTTGCGACCGTGCGTGAATACGCCAGTGTGAAGGTGCCAGGGCACAGAGGAATGCGATTGAATACTACAGCGGAGTACTCTCTGGCCGCTTGAATACAAGCATACGTGATCCCCATCTAACTCTAGCCGCCTTCGGAGGCAGCGGAGGAGGCCGCGGAGGCGTTGCCGGCGGCCAGTGCGGCACTCGCCTCCACTTTGAGGGACGCATCTGCAGCGGCACCGCCGGCTGCCACTGCTGTGCGGGCCTGCCGCCCCAGCGCGGAGCGGCCAGGCCGATGAGCGGACCCTCCTCCGCCCACCGCCGCCTCGACCCTGGCAGCGCCGCGTCTCTCCCTGCCGACGTGCCGCTGCTGTCGGTGTCGGCGTGCGGGCCGAAGCCAGACTCGTAGGCGCGGCCAGCCAGCGCCATGACGACGCAGAAGGCGAGGAGCAGCATCACTATTTGCCTCAGCGCGGTGATGAGCATCGAGAGACGGGTGCGGGCGTCGCTGCCCTCCATCGCGAGCGCGGGAAGCTCGATAAACCCCATGCAGAGGCAGCAGCCAAGGCGGAGGAGAGGAGCTGGCGAGTCGGTGGAGGGAGGAGCGCGCGTCCAGTTTCGTCAGCTTTTTCTTTTTGAGCTTAGCCTTCGATGTTATGAAACAACGCAAGGCGGACATGGCATATCGCTCTCGGGCTCACAGACATCCCTCACACCCGCCGCACACCCGCGCCCCCGCTGAGAGAGCCTACCTACCTTATTGTGTGAGTGTGTGTGTGTCACACACACTCACTACCTACCTTATTGTGACCGAGCCTGGCTGTTCTTCACCTTTCTACCTACCTACCTATTGTGAGCTTGTACCTACCTACCTTGTTTGTGTCTGTGTGTCGCTCGTGCGTGTCGTCATCATCTGTCCCGCGTCCACCCATACCGCGTTGGTGTCCAGTCCGAGCCTGGCTGTTCTTCACCTTTCTTCCTTCCTACCTTCTCGTTGTAAATAATAATACAGACGGATGGACACTTGCTGTGGCCACATGACACGCACACACTCGCACCGCACCGCACCGCACCCCCCCCCCCCCTCGCCTGAGCTGGAAGGAGATGGGAAGATGGAACAGCCCAAGGGAGAAGCGAACGAAAATACGTATGGGAGGTTGAAGTCATGCACCACGCTGCCCGGCGTTTCTCACTTTCCGAAACCGCATGTTCGCCCGTCTCGCGTCTGGGACCTCCTTCGTACGGCTCCAAAAACCGCTCCTTAACGACGACTACGCGGCCCGGCGGTCGATCTGCGCCTTCTGAGCGGTGGAGGGGATGTGGGCGGTACGTGCGGACTGCGTGGTCATGCGACGGTTTGACGAGTGCGACTCCCAGCGTCGACTCTGCGACCCCACGGAGCCTCTGCTGCTCCGGGGGGGGGGGTCTGCAGACCACCCAGCCGAACTTCAGAGTGGCGGTGCTCCTCAAATACCGCTCAAACGCCCACGATGTTGTGGAGGGGACATATGCTGATGATCCTGGCCCGATTGGTTCGCTCAGAAAGCTTCTGGGCGGTCGTTAAGGTTCGCTCCCCGCACAACGGCCCGGAAGTATCGTACCCTAGACAGGGGGCCTTGGGGGCAGCCCGGCAGCCTGCCGGACCGCTGTTGCACGCCAGGAGCCCCGCATTAGGTAGCGACCCCAGGTTAAGAGCTAGGCTTCCCGACAGGGCAGGGAACCCCCAGCGCGCAGGCGGGGCCCACGGTAGCCTCGTGCAGTACGCGATACCGAGAGCTGGGGGAGAGGCGCGCCACGCCAAGGGGGACAAGTGACGGGAGGGGGAGAGTAGTGTAAATAAATAAATAAATAAAAACGGACACCTCTCTACTGTGAGATGGGTAAAAAGGAACAGGTCCCCGCCCTTGCGATCTTTGTGCAGGGTTCTTTGTGGGTGTGGTAAAGGTAAGGTAAGGTAAGGTAGACTTCTCCACACACACAAAGTGGTGGGGCAAGGGGGGGCGACCCTCGCATCTCCACGCCCGGACACGGGCACAGGAGCCCCACGGCATTCAAAGTGCAAGCACTGGCCCGGTGCACGTGGGTGAGCAGCCTGCCCCTCCCTCCGTCGACAGAGGAGTGTCTTTCGCAGGATAAAACGCAATTTTTTTTTGTGACGTGCCCGCCACCGCCACCGCCTGCGCCGGGGTGGTGTTCTATTTTTTGTTTCGTTGCCTCAAAAACCTTGGCCGAGCTCAATATCCAGACAGCCGCCTCCAAGACTCTGACTGGTCCAAGCCGCCTCTCCCCCACGGAGAGACAAGAGCGCGCTCCTTTCCACTGGCCCCTGTCACTGGCCCCTGTCCGCGACCCCTCAGCCGAGAGCGGTGGGGTCACCCCACATCTGATCGCGTGGCTCAATGAGCAGCTCGTGCACGCCGACATGCGCCGGGGCGGTCAGCGCGTACAGCACTGCGGAGGCGATGTCGGCGACGTCGAGCACGGAGTTGCGCTCTCCCGCAATCTTCTCGCCGATGCTGACGCCCATCTTCTCCGCCGCCTGCGGCGACGACGACAGTGCTCAGTCGAATGCTGCGCCGCGCTACTCTGGCGGTGTCGCATCATCACCGCCGCCTCTTTGTCCGTGTTCGCGACGATGAGATTCGTCCCGACGTCCCCCGGCTGAACGTCCGTCACCTGGCCCCATGCAACCTCGCGTCATCATCGGGCGATGTCTAATCTACCGCAATCTCGCGCAGTCTCGGGAATGACTCGCGCAATCTCGCGCAATCTTGGGACCATCTCGCGCAATCTCGGGCAGTCTCCGCCTTGACGCCGGTGCCGACGCACTCGGCCCGGAGACCCTTTGAGAAGATGGCGACGAAGGCCTGCGGGAGACTGCCCGAGATCACGCTGAGATCGCCTCGAGGTTGCGGTGAGACGGTGAGACGATGACGGCGTGCCTTTGAGGCGTTGTAGACTGACAGCGCCGGGAAGACCTATCGCGGCCCGCAACCAGCATCGTGAGGCTCCGCTGCCATGATCCGTGCGCTCCCGTTCACCCGTTTGACTCGCCTGCTTCGCTGCGTCCGAAGAAATGTTGACAATATGGCCAGACCTAATCAATCTCGGGTTGATCTCGCGGTGATCTCGGAGGGGAGGCGGCGGCGAGAGCGGCCGCGCTTGCGGGCGAGCATCTGCTGCAGCACGGCGCCCACGCCGTTGACGACGCCCTTGCAGTTGGTGTCGATCGTCCTCTCCCACTCGTCCTCGTGAAGGTTCTTCAACATCGTGAAGTACATCACACCGGCCGCGTTGACGAGGATATCGACAGGCCCGAGCTGCGCCTCCGCCGCGGCCGCGAGCGCCTTGACGTCGGCTCGCACGGTCACATCGGTCGCGACGGCGATGGCCCGGCCGCCTCGGCCGGCAATCTCGTCGGCGGTGGCCTGCGTGATGTCGACCCGCCGCGCCGCCAGCGCCACCGCACAGCCCTCCGCCGCGAGCGCGAGGGCGATGCCCTGCCCTATGCCGCTGCTGGCGCCGGTGACGACCGCGACCTTGCCCTGCAGCGACATACACACCTCTGCGATCACCACGCACGCAGCCGCGCTTTGAGGGCGAGCTCAGAAGAATTTTGTTTTAGGTATGTTGTTGGCAAATCAAGACACAGAGCTCACACAGGATCACAGCGGGAGGAAAGCGGCGAGTCGCAATTCCAGGGGTCGTTGTGGCGGGCCACCCTGTCCAGAGAGGCATGGATGCCAATCTGGGGTCTCTCGACCGAGTCTATGAAGCCCTGGCCGCCTCCCGGTGGCGGCAGAGGTTATGGAACCAAGCGACGGAGATGGTGCGGGGGTACGGGTGTTCCAGGGGGTCACGACACGCACCGACCCTTCACGAACCGAAAGGCTGCACCCGGGGGAGGCACAGTAATCCGGCGCCCACGCCTCCTCCGCCCTCCACCTCTCCCATGCCGCCCCCAATGTCGGACAGCGAGACGGCGCTCAAGGAGATCGAACGGGCGTATCGGGGGCGGACACGCGGCGAGACAAATAGGAGCGCACTCAATGCGGCGGTGCAAGCACAAATCGACATTATACAGCGCCACGGAGGGTACGTGATTTTCATCTTCACGGAGGGGCATGCGGGCAACGCGCCCAATTCCATGGCGGACGCGGCGGCAAAGGCACACCTGCGGAGCAGGGTAACGAGCGCGTACGAGATGGACCTAGCACGACACGTGACGAACAGGGCATGCATCTACATGCATGAGGAGGAGGGGCAGGCGCCGGAGATCCGAGACAGGAGGCTGTATCACACCCGAACTCTAGGCGAGGCGTCGACCACTCCTTCGGAATAGCTCTGTCAGTGGCTGCACTAGACGCCCAGAGATGGCGCGCGGCGCGGGCGGATGACTGGAAGAGAAAATGCGGAGATGCTAGCTCGCAGGTAGATGTGCTCAGCCAAGGGCAGGGGATGAGGGGAATGTGTCAGTGTGAGGGGTGCACCAACCGCAGAGCGTTGTGTTTTGCCTTTAAGACTTGAACAGTTTTTTTTCCTTTCTGTTATTTGCGCAGCCCCCGGTTCTTTTTTCGCCTGTCGCGGGCGCGCCGTGTTTTCTTTTTCTCGGACGGAAGACGCCGAGCAAAGGCGGCTGCGTCCACTTCTTCCACCGCTCGACTTTGCTCAGCCGCCAGGCCGGCCGCTCTCCGCCACACGCCTCCGCCCATCCGCCACACACACTGCCATACGCTCGAGGATGGAGCGTACCGCTTACAACTACGGCGATGACACGCCCGCCGCCTGGGACGTGCTCGCCCGGGGAGCGCTGGGTCGGCCCATCAGCACGCGGATCTCTCCGGTCCTCTTTCTCGAGGAGCTTAACGAGGCGCTGCTCTTCGCGCCACCGGTCAAGGCGCGGCTGGGACAGCGGCCCAAGCCCGCGGGGCCGGGCAAGACCAAGGCGCTAGCCGCCTCTTCGGTCGAGCGGCCAGAGGAGACCGAGCGGCGGCGGGCGGCGCAGAACGACTGCCGACGGCTCATCCTGCCTCGAACCGCGGACGAGGCGTCGGACGTGTTTCTGCGGCGCCTCGATGCGCACCAGAACGCGCCCGAGGCGCTCGTCGCCCCGCTCTCCAAGCCGGAGGACACCAAGTCGTTCCTCCGCCGGATGGTCGCCGTGAAGAAGAACGAGGCGGCCGGCCTGCTCGTGATGCCGCGTGCAAAGGCGGAGACGGCGGAGCAGTTCGAGGCGAGGATGGCGCTGTGCGAGGCCTGCCCTGCCACCGTCTTTGCGCGCGGCGCGCACGAAGACCCAACAGACTTCAAGGCGCGGCTCGACGCGCAATCAAAGTGCCGCAGGCCGATCATGTGTCGCAGCGACGGAGAGCCGGCGAGTCTCTTCCGGCGGCGGTGCGCGGTGTCGCGCGCCTGCCTGGACGTGGTCCACCCGTACGACGCGGCGGCCGAGCCTAGACGCTGAGTACAGACCCGTGTCCTCCTCGTAGCCCTCGAGAGGAGACCCACCTGATCCAACAACCTCCTATCCAACAACCTCCTGATCCACCCGCACACAGCTGTACTCCATCGACTGTACTCGTGCCCACACGCCATGACCCTGGGTGCATTCGCACCGCAGGCGCGCGAGTCCGCCGACGACTTCACCCGCCGGATGGACGCGCAGGAGGGGGAGGCGCCAGGGCTGGCCACCCCAAGTACCGCGTGGCTAATGGTTCGTCGTGTGTTAGTCATTAGGAGGCGGCGCCGGAGCTGAGCATCGCGCCGGGCGACAAGAAGGTGGTGGGCGACTGCTTGAGTGGTTGGCGGCTGTGACTTCATATTAACTGATGGCAGGCGACAAGAAGGTGGTTGGCTCGCTCGTCCGCGAGTCCGCGGAGGAGGGCGCGGCGGCGCTGGCGGAGGAGATCGCGGCCAAGCTGAGGCTCGAGGAGGAGGCAAAGGCGGCGGCGGCCTCCAAGGAGGAGGCGGCCAAGGCGGAGGCGGCGGCGATCTCAAAGCAGCGGCAGCGGCAGGACAGCGTGGACGACGGGGCGGAGGCGGAGATCTCGGGCAGTCTCGGGTGAGCTCGGGTGATCTCGGCTAATAGGACAGCATGGACGACGAGGCGGAGGCGGCCAAGGAGGCGGAGGAGCGCGCGGCCAAGAAGGCTGCAGCGGCAGCGGCGGAGGCGGAGAAGGCGGCGGAGGAGGCGGAGAAGGCGGAGAAGGCAAAGGCGCTGTGGAAGAAGGCGGTGGAGAAGGTGGATACCCGTCTCCTCTGCGTGATCGGAAGAGGCTTGCTCGGTGTGAGCCGGTCGCCGTACGCATAGGTCGACATCAATTCGATCGGGTTCATGGCGCTCAAGCAGATGCTCATCTCCAAGGGCGTGCCGCCCGACGCCGTCAAGGTGCCAAACAAGTTCATGCTCAAGGAGGTTGCGGCGAAGCACGGCGTCAACATCGAGTGGAGCTGAGCAAGCTCGGGCAAAGAGGGATCCAAAAATGCATCCCTCCCAGGCGTATCTACCCCCAGCTTCCCCGTCTGTGTGCGGGGGAGGAGCTAGGGGAGGAGCAGCGTTTTCTCTTGAGTGCGCACATGCAGAGAGGCCGTGAGATGTACACAAAACTATTGATTTCAGCCGGCCGGCGGAATGAGGACGCCGGTGGCAGTCTAGAGAACTCCGACAATGCGTGTGTACTGTATGGCACTGGAGTGTGCAGGGAAGCGGTACGGTATTTTGCCTCACCATGTGTAAAAGGCGCTACGGCCTACGCAAGAAACACAACTCACAAGATGTTACTCTCTGAGTCACAGCCACCTAGGATCAACCTCCGCTAAGATCAAGTGCTGCGAGCGAGCGATCTACTGGCCCGCCCGCCGCGCCCCTTGCCACAGATCTTCTTGTGCGCCCCTTCCAGTCGCTCTTTTGGCACCCGACAGAGCAATACTCCACCTCGTGGCAACGAGCGCACTCCTTCAGACGGATTGAGGCAGAGGCGGCGGCACCGCAGGAGTGGCAGGTGTGCGAACGAGCACGCGGCCGGCCCGCTTCGCAGCACTGCGAGAGACACCTTGCCGAGCCCACGAATCGAGTTTTCGCGCTGAGCTGTCGCACCGCTCGCGCCTCTCTCGCGGCTGCGCGTAGGGGCGCGCTGTTGGGGGCGCGGACTGGCGCAGACTAGCACACACACCGGCACACCAGCAGCAATAATTTTACGCGGTCGCCCCTTTCTCCGAGTGTGGTCAGACTGATACACTGCGACTCAACGGTTGAGTGCGGCCAGCGCACACAAAAGTCGCCGACTGCGGTCTGGCGCGGTGATCATGGGTGCTGGAGACCAGGCAGTATGAGCCTGTTGAGATCCGGGCGTCTTCAGGCCGGACAGGCCGGCTTGTTGTTGAAGCAGAGGGTGAGATGGTAGCCCTCAAGCTCTGCTGGCGGCACGCTGAGGGATCCGATACTTTCTCCATCGCACGCCTGCTCCACGCGCCCATTGGGCAGACTGAGGTGCTGAAAGGCGCTGGGAAATACCGCAAACAGGTCAGAGTCGCGGGTCAAACCGTTTGGAATATCGCGGATCAGCGCCCATGATCCGTTCAGCGGACCCTCCCTGTAATTCTCTGATTCCATGAGGAAGCTTGTTGGGAGGGAATCGACCCTACTAAAACCGGCTTTCCCGACTCCGGTGTCTTTGGCGTTGATCAGAACGCTGAGCCCGTAGTCATACCCGTCTCTTGTGTTCGTCTCTCCGGTGTCGCCGGTGTAGAAAAAGTTGTAGAACGCACCCTTCGAAATGTCGCCATTGCGGGGGTCGACCGTGAACTCAATCATCTTTGAACCGCCCGGGCATTTTGGGCCAGACACAGCAACCTCGATGGACCCCATCTCGAATTCGGCCTGTGTCAGTCCTCGCCCTGCGCCGGTCTCTCTGAGCGGCGTGAAGTTGCAGCGCTTGTTCAACGTGGGCTTTAGGACGTTAGTGTAAGCCGACTGGTCGATCCAATTGCAGTCTAGGAGCGGCGTGCACGTAGGGGGGGGCGCCCGGGGCTTGAAGGAGAGGGTGAGATGGTAGCCCTCAAGCTCTGCTGGCGGCACGCTGAGGGATCCGATACTTTCTCCATCGCACGCCTGCTCCACGCGCCCATTGGGCAGACTGAGGTGCTGAAAGGCGCTGGGAAATACCGCAAACAGGTCAGAGTCGCGGGTCAAACCGTTTGGAATATCGCGGATCAGCGCCCATGATCCGTTCAGCGGACCCTCCCTGTAATTCTCTGATTCCATGAGGAAGCTTGTTGGGAGGGAATCGACCCTACTAAAACCGGCTTTCCCGACTCCGGTGTCTTTGGCGTTGATCAGAACGCTGAGCCCGTAGTCATACCCGTCTCTTGTGTTCGTCTCTCCGGTGTCGCCGGTGTAGAAAAAGTTGTAGAACGCACCCTTCGAAATGTCGCCATTGCGGGGGTCGACCGTGAACTCAATCATCTTTGAACCGCCCGGGCATTTTGGGCCAGACACAGCAACCTCGATGGACCCCATCTCGAATTCGGCCTGTGTCAGACCTCGCCCTGCACCGGTCTCTCTGAGCGGCGTGAAGTTGCAGCGCTTGTTCAACGTGGGCTTTAGGACGTTAGTGTAAGCCGACTGGTCGATCCAATTGCAGTCTAAGAGCGGCATAACGGGAGGTTGGGGAGGGGACAACCCTGGAATCGAAGAGAAGGTTTGCGCCACCGGCAGCGCGAGGAGTCCTGCCAATGCACGGCCCATGCGGCTTGCCATGCGCGCTTGCCCGAATCGCGATTTTCATCTATTTTACGCACGACGCTGCCGTCGGTCAAATAAGTCAAGCGGCGAGGGAGACAAAAAGAGACATCGACATCGCGACGGCGACGAGGGGAGAGAGGAAAATGGCGAGAGCGCAGCCTCGGATGAACGAAGGATAGCGAGGTCTATCTTCCGATCCATCCACGACAGGTCCCTCCCTATCACGACCGACGTCGGACCACACGGCGTACTCAGTGTTGACTGATGCGCTACCGGTGGGTCCGCGAAGATGTACGAAGCCACGTCGACGGGGGCTGTGCGACCTGTGCGGCCTGCTCAGCGGTGTGAGAGACGCCACCTCGCCCTCGAATGTCCATACACCACACTGACCCTCGAGGCGGTACTCCGCGCAGTCCTGGAGAGCACGACCCTGGATGAAGCCTTGCTAGAGGAGGTCCGGGGCATGGGGAGGGAGCAGCTAGTCCACGAATACCGCCGCCTCTGCATCACCGGTTTCCGTCTGACCACGGGCAGAGGACAGATCGATCTCCTCGAGGCTGAGGTGCGCAAAGTTGAACTTTGCGGGCCGCGCGCCGCCGCTCGCGGCAGCGGCAGAGGCTTCCTTTTTCGCGCGATGGCCCTGGGAAGCTGGCGCCGCACGCACAGGCGGACCTTGTGTATGCGGCGAACGCTTAAAAGTGGGTGCTCTACGTCACTTGTGTTTTGAGTAGATAGTGAGTGCCGAGCTGGCCGTGACAGCATTTTCGCAGTTTGAGGCGGGTTTTGCACCACAGACTTTTTGCAACTAGGGATCCCCTATATAGATGTTAAGTGTGGGTTAAGAGGGAGATTCGCGCGAGCTGCGGGACCGCCGGGACGGCGGGCGGGTGATTGCGACTCGCCGCCGCTTTTGGCGACTTTTGGCGACTTTTGGGACGAGCGATCGACAGGCCAAGAACGATATGGCGGGCGAGGCCGTCACGGCCATGATCGTGGCTGCTGACGGCGGCGACGATCCCCTGGCGGACCGCCGCGAGGACCGGGAGGCGGCGGCGGAGCGGGAGAGGAAGGCGAAGGTGGCGAAGCTCAAGGCGCAGACGGCGAACGCGATGGAGGTGGTGCGGACGCAGCAGGCCGCGAAGGAGCGGGGAGCCTTGGACGAGGCGGCTCTCACTGCGAACGAGGTCGCGGGAGCGCCGGTGAAGGGCACCTCCGCCATGCTCAAGAGCATCTTCGATTCCCGACGCGATGGCAAAGATTGGAAGATGGTGCAGCGGCGCGAGCAGCGGAAGACCCAGACCGGCGCGGGCACTGCCGCGCAGGTTGTGGCGGGCCTGGAGACGGTGGCGGCGTCGGCAATGGAGATGTACAAGAAGGACGGCGCCGACGCACTCACGGTGACGGATGCGCACGCGGTGCTGGTGAATGACGTGGCGCTGAAGCAGGGCATGCTGGCCATCTCGTCGAAGGCGAGGTCGACGACTACCCGCAGTTCGTGTCGTGGCTGGCCACATTTGCCACATTTGTGCAGTGCTTCTTCCCCTGCGCCTGGCGGCACAATTTGCCTATAGATGGGAGCGGAGGGAAGGCGATTGCCATCCAGCCGAAGCTGGTGGTGCTTTACCTGGCGATGGTTGCCAACGGCTTGGTGCCGATGGGCGGGTTCGTGTGCGACTTCGAGGACGGGTCGGCGTCGTTCGCTGCACGAGGGATGAAGGTGCCGCACTCGAAGAAGAAGCCGTCGGGCGGGAAGGACAACTTCACGATGAAGACGATCGACCTCTTTTTTGACGGGCTGAGCGGCTGGTCGCGCGCGCACAATGTGCTGGCGCCGCAGGACGACCCGGAGTGGAAGGTGATGATCAAGGCGATGAGGAAGGTGTGCAACGTGCGGCTGGATTCAAACCGGCCCTACAAGGCGGCGGCGCTGTGCCCGGTGACTGTGGCGTCGCTGATGTCGACCCTGTCGGTGACGAATGCGGGGGACGTGAACTTCGCCGCCGTGATGGCGCTGGGGCTGGCGTTCTGGATGCGGCCGAACGAGTGGTTTTTCCTCGACGTGGAGTGCTTGGCATTTGTGGAGATGCAAGGCATGGAGCTGCTGCACATCCTGTTTGTGATCTCGAAGGCGGACGAGTTCAGCTCGGGAGTCGTGCGACGGACGGCGCACCGGCTCGGGTGCGGCGGAACGAGCACGGCGCCCGAGATTGTGCTCGATGGCGACGCGCACTTTCACGGTGCCTTCATGTGCCCGGTGTGCTACCTGGCGTATCACCTGAGGTTCAACGAGCTTGCGACGGGCCCAGCTTTTCGGGCGAGGAGCGACCCGTCTGCGCCGATGCCGATGGAGGATCCCTAGAGGGAGCGGACCGTGAGTTGAGGAAATCGGAGGACGCGACCCACCTCGCCACAGACGGTCCCGCGCCTCGCCACTATGACGGGTAGACGACCGCGGCTCGTGTGCGTCTACCCGTCTTTGTCCGGAGTGAAAAGTCCAACGCGCTCGTCGGTGACGGTGTCCTCCAACCTGCGCCGCGCTCGGCGAACCTCGACAGCGCTTTCGGTGGCATGCAGCTCTTTGCGCCTGAAGCCTTGAGAGCAGCTCCTCTGCTGCTCACACGCTCTGCACAGTTGGCACAGCCTACTGTGCGGCTGCCACAGCTGTGACAGCGATGGGCTCGCCCTCACTGGCCCTCAGTCACTTGTGCTGCGGCATGTGTGAGCGACACTGCTCGGCGACTGCCGGCACACTGTGAGACCATGGGTGTGAGGTAAAACCACGCTACCAGCGCTTGGTCACATCAGCCCCGAGGTCAGATCCTTCTCCTCTGTTGATGGTAACACTTGTCTACTCGCTGGAGCCGAGCAGGAGGGCCCGGCGCACAACCCCTGGTCAACTCACGGTCCCACACCCCGTATCTCGCCCTCACCCACGCCACACGCGGTCTGGAGCCCTCACAGGGAAGCACCGCCCGACCCCCGTGGCCCCGCCCCTCCAGACCCATCCGAGACCTCTAGACCCGTTCCGCCCTCTTACCTCGCCCCCCCTCACCACGCCACCAGCGGCGCCGTGCCGCCCTCCCCCGCCGCCGTCTCCGGAACCGCCGTCTCCGGCGCCGGCGACACCCGCACCTACCAAAACCGAAACCACGGGTCGAACAAAAAGAAATCGCCGTGGCGGCGACGGCGAGGTCCCCACCTCTGAGAAGAGCCCCGCAGCGGCGTATGGGTCCTCGCCAGCCCACGCCCGCACCTCCTCCGCCGAGTCGCCAGAGACCAGCAGCAAGGTGCCCACCGGCTGCCCGCCGCCCTCGCGCAGAGGGCCGGCGAGGTGTACGCGTCCCGACGCCTTCAGCCAGTCGAAGGTGGCGTGGGGGAGGGGAGGGTGGGTTCTGGTACCGTGGGGTAGGGGGTAGGGTGGGTTCGGGTACCGTGGGGCAGGGAGGGTGGGTTCGGGTACCGGTGGGGGTAGGGGAGGGCGGCGCAGAGCGCCTTCAGCCAGTCGAGATGGCGCGGCCGCGTCGCCGTGCGCATCTCCGAGGCGCCGTCGCGGTCGAGGCAGTGGACAAGAAAGGCAGTCCCGCCGCCGCGCGGCACCCGCAGCTCCGCCGCCTCCGCCATCCCCCACTCGTGCACGCTCTGCTTGCCGTACCCGCCGCACGCCGCAAACGGGTCAGTGCTCGCCTGACCCGAGAGTACCCGAGATGTAGCCGAGAGAGACAAGCGGGTCAGTGGTCGCCTGACTCGCACTCGTTCACACCCGTGAAGCGAATCGCTGCCGCACGCCGCTAAAAGGTTGCAGCCCGAGATGCAGCCGAGATGCAGCCCGAGATGCAGCCGAGATGCGGGTGGCTGACTAGGTCCTCTGGTGCTCGCCCAAGCGCAGCGTCCGAGGGCGAGTCTGCTTAATTAACTAGTGCTCGCTTAGTTAATTAGTGCTCGCCCAGGCGGCGGCGTCCGAGAGCGAGTCGGCGCTACATCTCGGCTACATCTCGGCTATATCTCGGCTTCATCTCGGCTTCATCTCGGCTGCATCTCGCCCAGGCGGCGGCGTCCGAGAGCGAGTCGGCGCGGAAGAGGTGGAGGTGCGCCTCGACGTACGGCAACGCCTGTGTGACACACTCCTCCCCCGCCGTTAGGCTGCAGCACCATTCTACCCTCATCACTTCGCGTTGACTGCAGCGCCAGCCTGCGGCTCCATCCCCGCCAGCACTCCGGGCCTCGACCCGCCCTCGCCCTCGCCCTCGCCGCCGCCCTCGCCCTCGCCCCCGCCCTCGCCCTCGCCCTCGCCCTCGCCCTCGCCGCCGCCCTCCGCCAAGCGCGCGCGCGCCGCCGCCTCGAGCTCCTCGAGCTGCTCGTCGGTCAGCACCTAAGAGAGTCGGAGGTCAGGGCTGCGGTCACTGTGGAGCGCCGCCTCCGCCTCTTTTCCGCCGCTCGTCTCTGCACGCCAGCGCGTTGGGGTCGCCGTCGCCAGCCTCCGGCCCGCCGCCAGCCGCGGCGTCCGAGAGGAGGTAGTGCGCGTGGCAGATGGCGACGCCTGCTCACACACCCTCGCACCTCTCGTTGCACGACCCGCCTCCCTCTTCACACCGCGTGAAGAGGCAGCAAGGCGGCGCCGTCGCTGCGCGCGCGGCTCAGCCAGGCGGCGTAGCGCTGGGAGAGAGCGGGCGAGGGGGCGCAGCCGGGGAGGTACTCGGCGAGGCACGCGTACAGCGGCCGCGCATCCTCCTCCTCCTCCTCCTCGCCCGGGACCGGCGGCCCGCGGATCGGAGAGAGGTCGATGTCGTTGCCGAGCGGCGTGCTCAGGTCGACCCAGCTGGCCTCCTCCTCGTCCGCGCCGCCCTCGCCCGCCTCGGCGCCCTCCACGGGCGTGTCCGACCCGTCCTCGAGCGGCGGCAGCGTCGCCGGCGGGCCCGCCGCCCGGAACTCGGCCATCCGCCTCTCAAACTCCTCCTCCTCGGGCGTGAGCATCGTCGCGGCGCTGGCGGCGCGCCAGCCGAGCGCGCCGACCACCGGGCCGCCCGCGGCGCGAGGGGCGCAGCGGAGGGCGGCGGCCGACTGCACCAGCAGGGCGGCGGCAGCGCAGCGGAGCGCCGTCATCGAGATGGTGGCGACGCGTGGCGAGCTCCACAGCCCCAGGCTGATGGCAAAAAAAGAATTCTCCTGTATTTTCTTTTTTTCGCGCCGCGAGCTGGCAAACAAGAAAAGAAGGCCGCCACGCGCACACATTCGCTCGCACTCCGCCACTCTGACACGCACAAGCCCAGCGATGGCAAAAAAAGAAATTTTGGTGTTTTTCTTTTTCCCAGCCAAGCACACACATTCGTTCACACTCCGCCACTCTGACCAGCCAAGCGCACATATTCGTTCACACTCCGCCACTCTGACCAGCCAAGCGCACACATTCGCTCGCACTCCGCCACTCTGACACGCGCACGCACAATTCCAAAACCTCAATATCCTGTGTATGTACGTTCAGGAAGCAAAAAACCCCTCTATCTCCTGGATGTTGGTGGAATTTACGAGCACCTTGTTGTGAACCATCGCCGCTGCCCATGCCCGATGCAGGCAGCTAGCCCACGAGGAGGACTTCCATAGACACCTCACTAGACCCCACATACGGTCTCGTCCGTGCCTCGCCGGCCGGAGAGATTGCTAGAGGTGGAGCATGCTGCTCTAGCCTCACATGTCACTTCCTATCGTCTGTTGTTTGTTGTGCCCTTGTTTGTTTCTCTTGGCACCTTGGAGTGCTGGGGGGGGCGACAGGGAGGATGTGGCCTTGAGTTATGTGTACGCCAACTCAGGGTGTGTGGCAGCCAGCTGGCTGTGTGTCTTGTGAGCTTGTTTGTGTCTGTGTGTCGCTCGTGCGTGTCGTCATCATCTGTCTAGCGTCCACCCGTACCGCGTTGGTGTCCAGTCCGGGCCTGGCTGTTCTTCACCTTTCTACCTATGTATGTTAGCAGGGAGGTGATGAGGAGTCAGTTATGCGCGGCGGGCGGTTAGACGTTACGGACGGGGCGAATCGAACGTTCGGAGGCTTCGGAGGTGCGGAGCGTGTCTCATTGCGTCAGGCCCACGACCGACACCCACCGGAGCGTGGCGGTGGCGCAGGGCCGGCCGCACACCATGCCGAGTCCGCTCGTATTCGTCGGCGGGGGCGCGGCGCTGACGGCGGCGGCCCGAGCGGCGGACAAGGCGAACGGTGGTGGCGGACCATTCCGGCGGCTGGGCGAGGGCCGCGGCGCGGCGTTGCGGGAGGTGTGGCCGGTGGAGGCGCTGCACACCGTGCCCGCAGCAAGGCGGGCGGCGGCGGGCGACGCGGAGGAGCCCTACCTATGCCCGACGAGCCAGAGAGGCTGCTGAGCCCGCCGGCGAGGCGGGCCTCTCGAAGAACGAGCAGAAGCGGAGGGCCAAGCAAGCCCAGGCCAATGTGATAGGTACTTGGAGTACTTTTTCTACGTTTTTTCTCTTTTTCTGCCGTTGGAAGCACTGCCGGCTCGCGGGAATGGTGGGTGCCGTCGACAAGACGCTCGTGCTCGAGCTCTCCGGCGGTCGCCACTTCCCGCCCGCGCCTCCCGGCACGGGCTTCGGCGTCCGCTGCCAGCTCGTCGGCCAGACTCGCTCCTCGTGCGTCGCTCGAGGCGGCGCGTCGCCGTTCTGGGGCGATGTCTTCTCGTGGGAGGTGTCGAGTGCGCTGCTGCGTGCGCTGCGGTCGGCCTCGCCCGCGCTCCGGCTGCAGGTCTTTGCGGTGCGCGGCGAGGGCGCAGACGCCATCGAGTCGCCGGTCGGACACGCGCTCATACCGCTCAAGGGCGCGGCGCTGCCCGGGAAGGGCGCAGCGCAGGTGTGGCACAGGCTGGTGGCTGCGTCGCCTTCCCGCGGAGAGGCGGCGCCGCGCAGGCCGCCCGAGGTCTGTGTGCTGCTGAGGGCCGTCGACGAGCCGGCGGAGGTGGAGGTGGATGCCGAAGCGACTCCGGAGCCATCGTCGCAGTTGCTGCCGCCTTCGCCGCCGTCGGCGGTGCTGGACGGTGGTGGCGGTGGCGGTGGCGGCGGCGGCGGCGGCAGCGGCGGCGGTGGCGAGTACCCTGGCGAGGGCGAGGGCGAGGGCGAGGGCGAGGGCGAGGGCGAGGGCGAGGAGGATCCGGCGAGCGAGACTGCGACTGAGCTGACGCCGCACAGCTTTGGGCGCAAGGCGCGGCTGCTGAGCAATGAATATAATGACTAATTAGCATTGATTATTGAGTAGTACTCGTTTGGGCGCGAGGCGCGGCTGCTGAGCGGCTTGCAAGCGGGCGTGGCGGAGGAGGCGGAGGAGGCGGAGCCAGGGGAGGAGGTGGAGGAGGAGGGGGCGAGCGGCGAGGGCAGTGTCGAGGCCACAGCGGCCGAGCTCGGCGGAGCGGGCGGTGGCGAGGTCGACGGCGGCGGCGGTGGCGACGGAGGCGGCGGCGGCGACGGCGGCGGCGACGGCGACAGCGGCGGCGGCGGCGAGGGCGGCGAGGCTGCAGCGGCGCCTGCCGGGCCGTTGTTTGCGACGCGGGACCAGGCGATCAGATCAATGAAGTGATTAACCCATTGATTAGTTAATCAATCAGCACCGCTGTTTACCAGGCGATCGAGATCAATGAAGTGATTGAGACCATTGATTGGTGATATGAATCAGCGCCGTTGTTTGCGACTCGCGAGCAGGCGATCGGCGTCCTGCGCGAGCAGCTGGCGGAGACGCGACAGGCATTTCCTCTCGAGTTGCTACACAAGCATGAAGAGATAGGACCGATGTATGTAAGGAATGGCGGCTGGCGGAGACGTTACTCGCATGATTTGCAGCGTTGATACACACAACTAAGACACCTTAACTAATGTGATGAGCGTGGACATGAGTCGCAGCTGGCGGAGACGCGACAGGTGCTGCGAGGGGGGCGGTCGGCAGCGGCGCTGGTGCGGAGTCTCGCGACTCCGGAGAAGGCGGAGAACAGGGAGGAGGAGGAGGAGGAGGAGGAGGAGGAGGAGGAGGAGGAGGGTGGGGAGGGGCCTTCCGAGGCTGGCCGCGCCAAGGTGAGCTGGTGCCGAATCACCGTGCGGTGAATTAGAGCATCTTCTTTACCACCCGCCCTTGCCGCGCAAAGGTGAACGCCATCCTGCAGCAGCAGCGCCGTCGCCGAAAGCAGGCCAGCCTTGACCCAGCGGCGAGGGCGGCGAGGGCGGCGGTTGCGCCGCCGCAACGCGCGGTCGCGGCGTCTCCTCGGACTTTCTTCGGTTTGCCTGCTTCGCCGCCGTCGCCGCCGAAGCCAACCGACGCGCCTCCTCCTCCTCCTCCGCCCGCTGCTGCAGAGGCGTCGCCGCGGAAAAGCGAGGCGACCCCACCGCTGTGCGAGTTCGTTTTGCGGTTGCGCCTCCCCCGCCCCTCCGCCCTGGCGGCGCTGCTTGACGTGTCGGAGGATGCGGCGGCGAGCGTGGTGCCGCGGCTGCAGTGGAGGGGGGGCGAAGCTGGCGCTCTGGCGGGCGACGCTGACGGCGAGCTTCAGACCTCGCTGCTGCGATGAAAGGACAAGCGGGCATATGGTTTCTCATTAAGAGTTGTGGGGTTGTTTCTGATCTAGGCGAGCTTCAGAACCTTGCTGCCACACTTCATCCGTGAATTTGCCTTCTGACCGCGCCTCTCGTCTCCAGGCGAGTTCCAGATCTCGCTGCTGCTGGAGGAGCAGCTGCACTCGCTCCTCGACCTCACCCAGCCAGTAGTAGATTATTAACTTCTACTGAGGAGTGACAGGAGGAGCTGCACTCGCTCCTCGACTCGCTCGCAGAGTCTGCTGGCGGCGGCGGCAGCGGAGGCGGAGGGGCGTGGACCGCCTCCCGAGGTCTCGAGGCTGCGGCTCTCTCGCCGGCGCCTCTTGCCGGCGCTTCACTCCGCGGGTGGTAACGGGTCGTGGCCAGTCAGCTCTCACTCATTCTTAGGTGCCTCTGCTCACGCTGCACTCCGGCGCCTCCGACGCGCCCCTCGCCGTCGCCCCGCTCCCAGTCTCACGCCTCGCACGCGCCGCCGACGGCGCCACGTTCGACGGAGAGGTCGACCTCGGCGGCGGCGGCGGCGTTGATGGCGGAGGCGATGGCAGTGGCGGCGGCGGCGGCGGTGGCGGCGCGTCGGCGCGGCTGGGCGTGTTCCTGAGTGTGCGAGAGCGAGATCCTTCCGAGCTGCAGCGGCGAGACACCGACCCGCGCGTCTGCTAACCAGCAATGACTCCATGAGTGCCTATTGACTTGATCGCTCCTCCAGGCGAGACACCGACCCGCGCGTCTGCTTCCTCGTGCGGCTGCGGCTGCTCTCGCTCACACTGCTCCGCCCTCCAGGCCCGCGACTGCCCCCGCGGGACCAGGCACGCTAATGGTGAAGAGTTGAGGGGTCGATGAGCCTGAGTCAGGCCCTCGACCTCCTCCGTGGACCAAGCACGGCGATGGCGAGACAGTCTGGTGACACCTCCTAGCCACTTTTCAGACACCTCCTAGGCACTTCCTAGACCAAGCACGGCGATGGCAGTCCCTCGTTGGTAATGAGTCCAGTCGATTGGTCGATGTGCACCAGGTGCGCCGTGCGGCGTAATCTCGGGGAATCTCGGGGAATCTCGGGGAATCTCGGGGAATGATGTGCACCAGGTGCGCCGTGCGGCGGTGCGAGTTTGCTGGCTGTGCGGCGCACGCGTCCCCGCCGGTGCAGTGCCTCCGCGGCCACCCGGCGTCGCTGGGAGGAGAGGAGCTGGCGCTGCCGCTTCCGAACCCGCCCTTCACGCCAAAGGCGGCGCTGGGCTGTGAGCTGTCAAGGAGGCGTTCTTTCGAGTAACCCCCACCCCCCTCTCCTTCCTTCACGCCACAGGCAGCGCTGGAGCGGCTGCGGAGTCAGCCGATGCGACTGGAGCTGCGGTGCGGTTCTGCGCGGGCGGACGCCTCCTGCGGCGGCGATGAGGAGGGGGAGGGGGAGGGGGGGCGGGGGGGCGAGGTTGCCGCGGCGCGACTCAGCCTGGCCGACATCTGCGGAGGAGCTCTCGTGCCGCTGTCTGGTGCGGCGGGCGAGGCGGCGGGCGAGGCGGCGACTGCGGCGGCCACTGCGCCCGTCCGGCACAGCCTAGACACTTCCTAGACACTTCCCAGACACTTCACAGACACTTCCTGTTCCTTGCTCAGGCGGAGCCTCGACTTCCTCGACGTGGGGAGCGGACGGCTCTGCGCGCGGCTGCAGCTCGAGCTGACGCTGCAGTGTGTCTTCTCCCCAAAGGCCTTCTCCCCCGCCGCCGCGCCGCCGCTCGCCGCCCCCGCCCCTCCTCGCCCCGCCGCTCCGATGCCGCCTCTGCCTCTCCACCCTCCCCGGCGATACGGCGGCGGCGGCGGCGGCGGCGGCAGTGGCGGCGGCGGCCTCAGGTATCGTTTTGCAATTGAGGTCCGCACGGCGCGAGACTTGGGCTCGCCGCTAGCGGGGCAGGGGCAGGTGTACTGCCGCTTCCTGTACCGCCTCCTCGAGGTCGGCGGGGGAGGAGGAGGGGGCGGCGGAGGAGGAGGAGGGGGCGGAGGCGGGGTGGTGTGCTCGCGCCCTGTGCGCTCGTCTCCTCCGGTGCGTCTTCCCGAGCATGGCGGAGGGGACCACTCCTTCGCGCGTTGCGAGTTGGTTGTGGCTGGCTGTGACTCAGGTGCCGCTTCCCAAGCACGGCGAGGTTTCTCTGCCGAAGGGCGGCTGCGTGTACGACTTTGTGTGCGCGCCGGCGGCGCTCCTCGACACGCTGGCGCACGAGCCGCTTCTCGTGGAGCTGTGGCACACGGACAAGTACGCGGCCGGCTCGAAGAAGCGACTACTCACCCGTGCTTTCGTTGACCACCCCCAGGCACACGGACAAGTACGCAGCCGACAGCCTCCTCGGCATCGCCACAGTCGACCTGGCGGAGCTCATCGGCGTCTCGCCGCGCGCTCTCGGCCGCACCGCCGCCGCCGCGGGCGGCGGTGGCGGCGGAGGCGGCGGCAACAGTGGGTTTGCTATGACGGTGCGAGAGCTCGAGGTAGCGCCGGGCAGCCCTGATTCATGGCTGCACCAAGCGCCTTCTCTACTCAGGTGCGAGAGCTCGACGTCGTAGCGCACGTGCGCCCCTCGCGCGCCGCCGCCGCCTCCGCCTCCGCCTCCTCCGCGCTGCAGGCCGGAGAGCCGACGCGTTAATGAACTACTTAATCAATTAGTTGATTAGTTAAGTAAAGCGTTGCAGGCCGGAGAGCCGACGCGGCAGGGCGGGGCGGCGGGCGGCGCGGCGGGGCGGAGCAAGGCGTCCGGGCGTGTCGCGCTGCTGCGGGTGGGTCTGCGGCTCGAGGAGCTAGGCCCTCCCCCGCCCCCGGCTCTGCCCGCCCCGCCCCCCTCTTCTCTCTCGCCGCCTTCGCTCGCCGCTTCGTTCGGCGGCGGGGTCGGGCGCGGCGGAGGAGGAGGAGGCGGAGGAGGAGGCGGCGGAGGAGGCGGAGGAGGAGGAGGAGGAGGAGGAGGAGGAGGAGGGTGGTTCGCACCTTCGCCGAGTGCGGGAGTGCCGCAGGCGGCGGCGGCGGAGGCGGCGCTGCTGCAGTGGCGGCAGCGGGAGGAGGAGAGGTGGCGGGGCGCGCTGAAGAAGAGAGAGGGCGAGGTGCTGGCGGCGCTGGGCAAGGAGTGGGAGGCGAAGGAGGCGGAGCGCGAGAGAGCAAGCGCCAGGCAGCGGCGCGGCCTAGCGGCGGCGGAGGCGGAGCTGCGCGGCAAGGTGGCAGAGCTGGAGCGGGAGCAGCGGCGGATGAGGGGTGTCGAGGCGGCGCTGACTGCCAAGGTCGCGGCCGCGGAGCAAAAGGCGGCGCACGAGGCGGCGCTGCGGCAAGCGACGCACCAGGGCGAGCTGGCGGCGGCTCAGGCGGCGCTCGGCCAGGCGAGCGGCCCGAGGTGTGAACGGCGTCTCTTCACACCTCTTGCTGTGAATAGGCGGCACTCGGCCAGGCGAGCGGCAAGGTTGCGATGCTGGAGGAGCGGTTGGCGGCGGCCGAGGCGCGGGAGGTGAGGCAAGAGGAGGAGGCGAGGGCGACGCGGCAGGCGGAGGCGGCGGCGGCGGCAAAGGCGGCGGCGCTGCAGGCGGAGACGGCGCGGCTGGAGGTGACGCTGCACGAGGCCCGCGCGAAGCTCGACGGCGCCGTCTCTGCCGCCGAGCAGCGCAAGCAGCAGGCGCTCGCGGCGCACCGCGACCTGCAGAGGCTCGAGGCGGAGGTGCGCGAGTCGGAGTCGAAGTAGTTCATTAATAAATTGCCTCGTCTTGAGGTGCGCGGGTCGAATTAATTTATGAACTAAATTGCCTCGTCTTGAGGTGCGCGAGTCGGAGTCGGCGCGGCTCCGCTCACAGCTGCTCGACGAGAGGTGCGAGAAGGAGCAGCTGCAGCTGCGGAGGCAGGCGGACCAAGAGCGGGCTTCACTTGCTGCTGAGGCGGCAGAGGTGCAGAGACTCAAGGCGCAGCTGTCTCAGCTTATTATTAT